TATAATGTAATACGTTTACAAAATTGGTAAGAGCATCAAACGCTTTGCCACGGTCCGTGGTCATTTGGGTCTAGATCGCAATCTGATATAGTGATAAATAATCCATGCCGTATATCGAAAACAATGAAGTTGCATTTGCAGGCGGATTCTTTAGAATAGAATGCTTTTGGCATTTTTCGGCAAATCGGAAGTATTAATTATAGTAAGTATGTACTAAATATACGATTGCATCTTTGATAAAGAGACGTACGACAAGATAAAGACAGATTTAAAAACAATAACAGGATTATTTGGCAATGGACCTTTAAAATGATACATATGTTTCTAAAGGAAATGAGTCATTTGCATAAAAAGGGAAAAATATTTTTTGAACCGCTTAATAAATAGTTTATTGTTTTAGAACTATTTACTATATTTTGACAGAAACTTTTTGTGTATATTATGATAGAAACATGAGTCAGTGTTTTGTAAGGTTCTTTTAAAATTATATAATTGTTTGTGATTGTGTCAAATTCGCACGTTTGATTTCATTAAAATAATCCAATATTTCGATTATTTCAATTAGTTTCATTCAGTTTTACAGTCCATTCCATCGTTTACAATTTACTATAAAATCGTATTGAAGGATATGGAATTATCTTATGAAATTCTTAAATTTTCAAATCGGATAATGGTTTCAGACTTTAATTCATATTTATAAAACGACTGCTAAATATAAGTTACTGATTAACCTTCACCTATAAGATGCTAATAGTCAACTTGTGGGAGAGTTTCGTAACAATGCAATTCTCGTCATTTTACACCCAATTTATGTTTTTGGACTGGGCCATTGTAAGATCTAGCAAACTTAACCATTCCCCATTATCACACTATACAATGTTGACGGCATTGGATCTGCTTCACGCCATATTTCACTTTCGGGGTTGGCAGAGCATCAAAGCAACTATAACATGGCAAAAAATAATCTTTTTAAGATTTATAAACCAAATTCTCATAGTTAACACTAAATGAGATAGAGCTAAGACGATGATCCATCCCACCAACACCGCTTTTTTTATATAATATAAGGTTTTAGAGTGTGGAAATTTTTGTCCATTCTATTGAAAAGACTACCATAATAAATAGCAATCAACAATGACTTGCATAGCCAAATCGATAACCGTTCGGAAGGTAAAATTTTCAGGAGGAAAATAGTTTTCAGATAATTGAACATGTATGCGAGAACAGTGTATTGGAAACTCGCGGGGTTGGGACGTCTCGCACGCGATCTTTCCGCGCACGCCACCAGCCAGCTTGCGCACTTTCGCGGCAATCGCACATTTTACTTTCAAACGATCACACTAACATCTATTTGTCAGGCGTTTTCGTGTTCGGAATTTCCTTGTTAGTAATAGCGTAAAGAATTTTAATGAAACGTAGCGTTAACCTGCATATTTATTTTTGTTTCAGATACATAAAGGAGGAGCCGCATCGGATAATGACTTCAGACCGATACCAATACCGCTCGAACAATGGAGTCATGAAAAACGGGAAGCACGCGTGGGCACACTCCACGAAACTATGAACACTGACAAAGCTACGACAGTAGCCGCAGTGCCCGCTCACTATTGGGAAGATGCTTTGAGGCACAGCGTCTATCTTACACTAGTCAGAGATAAAATCGATCAGCTCATCGCTAAAGGCATAGTGGTATCGCCCGACACCAAACCAGAACAACATACGTCTAAAGAAGTCGACGATCATGATCTTTGGGAAAAAATAAAAAAAGCACCCTTCGATAGAATTGTAGAAGACGATCACGCATCTTTTGGTGATGTTACGATTATGGCAAAAGGAAGATTGTTGGAAGAGGACAGTGGTTTCCGCTTCGCGGAAGACGAAAGATCGAGAGAAGACTGTAAAGACGATAAATGTATGAAGGGCGTTAAAGCATTTTGGTCTGTAAAACGTGTTCGGCAAAGAGATGAAGAAATATCAACAGGAAAATATCACTACGAATTAACTTTTTCAGTAAATTCCCAGCCGCCAAAAAAAGAAAGAAAACAGCATGAAACTCCTATCAGAACATTTACTGTACGCGAAAACCCCCCAGATATAATTGTGGCCAAACCTGAAGGAAGGCCGTATCACCAAGCGCCTTTTCCGCAGGCACCTCGTCCCCAAAGGGCGATCTGGTTTCATAGGAATATTGCTCCCGCTCCTCGTCCAAGCCAAGCTCGGTATCATCATCAAAGTCTAGATAGAATATTTTCATCGTTATTTTTTGACGACGACACCCCCGATGGACCTCCTCCAAGATTCAAACCGAACCACTATGCACCTCCAATATATCCTCATCATTCAAAATTAGGCTATGCAGGACCTTTGCGTGACCAAAATCATCAGAAAAAAAATATGCAATACCCTTACACACCTAACACGAATAAATATTCGAGACCCCCTATAAAAGCACCACCGACTGGTCATGTGCAACATCACTACATTGACATTGACGCAGGTAACTATCATCATAATTCACCTCCCTCAGATCACAGGCATATATCACCAAGTAATATTGTAAAAACAACTAGACCAGCAGTCTTGCCCACACCTTCTGTTCCTAATTTTAACAATACAATTAAAGATACATCATTTGAATTCTACAGTGATGATCAATTAAACTCTACGCAAAATATAACAACGCAAACAGACTCATTACCAGTTTATAAAACTAACAATAAGCCTAGACCACTACCTGGCAAAAATCATTATTTCCCTGAGCGTATACGACCACCTATTTACAACGCCCCTCCTGGAGTGTTTCTAACTATGGATAAGAAACCATTCAAACCAATGCCTCCGTTGAAATTCATGCATGGTTCAAAACCTGCTAAACGACCATCAGATTTTCGTCCCAGTCCACAAATTTTAGATGGAAAATTAGTGGATCCCGACTCATCCTTCGAATCGGCATTTAGGCCGATCCTATTGAAAAATATTACTGATAATAATGACACAGAGGAAAACGATACTGAAATCATTCAAGACAATAAACATTTGAGAAAACATGTGGTTAAGAAACCTCCTAAAAAACACGAAAACATTAAATCACAACGAGTCACTACTACTGCTCCTGATATAATCACTGTAGAAAGCGGATTAGAAGATAACGATACTATGCAATGGGCTAATCTTTTAGGTGCTTTTACTAAAACCACCCCAATGGATTCCCAAAAAGATAAACAGAAGATATTCGAATCCACAACACAGCCAATATCGCTCGATAACTTAGATCTCACAGTTAAATATATAACAACTGCGATGGATCCTGAAGAAACAATTTCAACTTCAACTACAGCATCCTTATCCAAAAAGCGCACTCGCCCACCACATAAATTCGCTAAGCCTGACAAGATAAAAAAATACAAACGAATATCAACTACAACAACAGTACCTGAAAAGGCACCTAAAAAGAAAACTGCAGATTTAACACCACAAGAAAGTTCAGCTAATAATGGGGGTAACAAATCTTGGCAGCCGAAAAATAAAACTTTATCATCTACTACTTCTGCTATAACTACTTCTACAAGTACAACGACACAAAAATCATCGCCTTTAACAACTCAAGTTACAACTACTTCAACGACATCACGACCAAGCACCACTACCATCGAAGTAATTACTAAACCTACTCAACAGAGAAATAAAAACCGCTTTCGACAAACAACCTTGTTGATAAAAGGAACATCAGTTAAGCATGACCGTTGGAGCAATAATTCAAGCAGCTACAATAATAAATTAGCTTCAACGTCCGGCAAAAATCCAACAAGAAGGAAAGGTTCCAATTTCCATGGTTACAGGCAGACTTCTACACCAAAATATTCAAACACAGAAGAATTCACTAAACAGTCTGAAACAGAAATAAGTAGAAGGATCGAATCTAGTACCACAAGTGATTCTTACTATACACCACTATCAACCCAAAGGAATTACGAAGAAACTGCAGGCCATTACATTAATAATGAATCAACAGTCGGATATTCACAAAATCAAGAAGATGACAACGATAGCAGAAGCGGTGATATAGAAATGAAAGTTAACAACAAAGACGACCAGGAAATTGATGATCATTCTGAATTCATTTTTGACCTTACCACAAAAACACCAAATGACCAATCTAATGAAATAAACGAAGAAGAATTCGTAACAGAACAGAGTATAGTAGCTACATCGCATTCAGTATCGAAAAATAGAACTAAATGCAAAAAAAAGAAACATCAACATTTGGCACCCACACAATCGGCTCTGATAGATGAAGAAGCTTCTACAGAATCTACTATGGCTATATCCACCAAAAGTTCTTCAAATCTAGATATTTTAGATCAATTATTAGGAAGCCTTACTTATGATGAGTCTACAGCTACACCTAAAGAGAGTATAGAGAAATATAAAGAGCTGGATGATGAAGAAAGTAAAAACCACGAAAAGTACATGCAAATCGATGAAGATTTCGAAGATTTTCTTGACGATTTGGGAAACAGACACAGACATTCTGACGAGAAAGGAGTAGAAGACTATGAGGACGATGAAAAAGAACCTTCCTTTGAAGACGAAGTATCGCCGTTCGACAATGATGATGTGAACGAACCTCGAAAATCAAACGACAAGGACTATGACGAATATCACGAACGCTCGTACAGCTTACTAGAATTAATGGCCATGGAATAGACTGAATTTTCACTCGACTTTTTTAAGTACCTAATACTCAGTTGTGCAGCTTTAAACTGTATTTGTTCTCAGCAAGCCGACAGATGACGTTATTAACTTGAACTTGATTTGAAAGGGTTTTCAAAGAAACAAAATTTTTTAAGGCATTTATTTAGAACCCAGAAACTTTTTATTTGCAAACCTTCGTAAATAGTTATATGCTGCCGAGATGTACATACTTCAATAATCTAGATATTTAAGTGTAGAAATAAGACGAAATAAATATTTAAGAGTATATTGTGATTTTTTCTTACCTGCTCCTTCCATCGAATATTTATATATGGGCTCTGGTTTTAAGGGAACTAAGGCTGCAAATGATTCTGGTGCAACATCCTTAATCCGTTGAAAATATGATAGCCTATGGTAAATAAATATCATATTTATTGTAAAATCCAAACACTTCAATAAACAGCAATTCATCAAAAACAGAAGTGTAGAACAATTAAATAAATTGAAAATTAATAAGAAAACCAGAACTAAGAAATTACCTGAGACACTTGCCAAGGACCTCACGTATAAAACGTGGTTTTGGGTGGTCTAATTCCAGCTGGAGGCAGCCTTCCCAGTCATCCCATGACCAACGATACTGGAAATTACTCAGGTGATACGAAAACCAGTTTACAAATCTAAAAAACGAAAAATGGGTGTTAATTCTCTGTCACTTCCTCAATCATCCATCAATTAAGTATAACACATACAACAACATTAAAGAAAAGAATCTGCAATTGATTGAACGCAACAGCTGAAATTGGGTCTAAAATCATAAAAAAATTTGCAGAACAGCTCTATAATGATTGATGAATCACTGAAGCTTTTAAGCAAAAGTAGAGGAATAATGAGGGAATGCCCATAGGGGTTAAAGTAGGGGATGACAGTTTGTATAAAACTTCTAAATGTATGTATTTGGGTGCCATATGCAGATAGCTATATTAAAGAATATATTACATATAATTCCATTACAAAGAATATTAAAGCATTTGTGAAGTTTTAACACTTTACATCTGTTTCTTTGCTTGATTTAATTAATAATGATTTATAACTTATTAATTAAAGACTTATTGAGCTTTCTATTAACACTCAATTAAAGTCCTATGTGTCAATCTAGATCCTATATATATGCCAAATTTCATCATTCATTAAGCAGTTTTAGCATGAAAGACTAACAAACATCTATACAAGGCAAAAACTAACAAATTTCCTTAAAGGCAAGCATCGTTTTTATGATACTTTTGGTGTTTTAGGTGTCGATGGGCAGGTGTGTACAGTGAGCACTTACCAGCTGAACCTTCAGCTCTTATGCTCCCTAATCCTATAAAAAAAAACTTTTGCATTCATAATATTAATAGGATTCTATTTTGTTTTCATATTTACCAACCTGTCAAAACAAGCGACATTCATAGTATCAATTCTCAGAAATAGAATCTCAGTAGCCTGTGCCAAAACTTGTGGCATAGTCGATGGCTGCAGTTTACACAGCTCAATCAGTATGGATCCATAACATATTTCCAAGTATCTTGGTCTGGGAAGATTAAAGAGCTCAGCAAATATAACCTCTACAATACAATACTCCAAAGGTATCTTAGTTTTGTAAGGAAAACAGATCAGTTGGGCAGCGCATTCCTTTCGCTCCAGATGATATGCCTCAAGTATATTATGTAAATGCTCTTCAATGAGAAATCTCTCAATAGAGTGAGCTCCCGGAAGTACAGGACCATCTGGGCAGTCCGTGTAGTCAAACATGCGGAATATAACCCTGGGCATGGGATAAGTATCACCATCATTATGAGGAGGAGGCTGAAAAGAATATAGTACAATAAATGAAATTAGTTCTTCGGTGTTTCATTTTGATTATAAAATTAACTGAAATCTTATAAAACCACTAAAGTAATCAATAAATAGACTAGATAGTAAAATATTGATACTCAATGTACCTGAATTGCTGGAAGTGTATGTTGCAAAGCTTCACACAAAATGGAGTCGAATGCCAAATATGGTCTGGGTATGTGCTTTTCTGACCAATTATCTTGTCTCAATTTCTTTATTTGTGCCCATAGGCAATCTAAATATTCTTCTTGCAGGTGTGGAGTATCTGCTGACCACACCTTTAAAGCAGGCCAATGTTTCTTGCTGCGTTTGTTCAAAAATACCTCAATAGTTACAAGTAAATGTTCTAATTGAGATTCTTTCTTTTCATACAACTCACGACCCACCCAGGGAAGGGCAGACAAAACAGCAAAAACAAACCAATCTCTTCTGACCTGAGGCACTCCATCTTCATTTGCACAATCTACTAGAGTTTCCAATAAAGTCAACAAAGATGAAGCAGCTAAAACATGACAGTTCACTAAGTCGGATATGAATCTAAGACAATATCTTGCAGCATTCCATTTTCCAATCTTTAAATTTTCTTTGAAAGTCTTAACAATGTAATCAACAAACTCTCCACCGAAATTATAGTTTTTAGCATTGAGCAAACCAACCAATGTAGCATAGATAGTACATTTTTCAGGCATACGAATTGCACAATCTGTAAGAATGCGGAGAATTTTTACTCGAAAAGTACTCAAATCTGCTTCCAAAACGCTTGCTAGGCCCTCCAAATTGCTTTCCAGACTGGAACTACTTTTTTCACCAACTCTAAGAATTAACGATTCTAATCTATCCTCTATCTCTTGATTTTCTGAAACACGCCGTCTTTTTCTGTGTAAGCGGTCTGTAATTCAATAAAAAAATTAACAATTACCTATTTATTCTCATCAATATACACTTTACTTAAATAATATAACCTCAAAAGCGTACCGTATACATCGTCATCATCATGTCCTCTTCTACGATTCATGATTATGATAAATTTATACAAACACCAGACACTATTACAATCAAATTAGTTTTTAGGAAATATTACAATTCCGACACAATCGGGATGTACTGATTATGCTTTATTTTGAGCTTGATCTTTCTTTCAAAATCAAGGGAACAATACCTTCAAAATAAACCAAACAACCGTGTTGCGTTCCAAACCCACGCTTCAGGTGCAACAAATGTCAAATTTGTTTGAAGTTACATACATCTTAAGTCAAAATTTAAAACATCTGGGTGAAATGTTGCACTTAGAGCGTAGGTTTGGAACGTAGCTTCTACGTTCCGTCCCACGCATGGAGTGAAATTTTCACTCTGTCTGACGGCTAATTTTTATACATGATAAGTCAAATATCCTTCGATCAACAATTCTATAGCTCTTTCTATAAATATTGGGTCAGCACGTAAAATCCGTCTCTGTAAATATAGCCTCACTCGAGGTGTGAGATTATTATTTTTATATATTTATTATTTTTCTTATTCTAAAAATTAGTTCGGTTAATACAAAACGAAGTTACTTGCTGACCAATGACTGGTAAAAATATTTTATTTTGTGGTTCATAAGGTTGATTTCACATTTTCCTTTTCTCACCTTTACTATTTTTTTTCAAGTATCAGAAATAATTTATAAAATAATAGTTCATTTTATAAGATAAAATAACGTATGAGCAAAATAACATTTTGTTATTTGAAACATGTTGTCAAAATGTTAATACAAATTGCCATGTGAAGTGCCGACATGAAAATCTATTGATCAAATTAAAATTCGTATGGATATATGGATAGGGGTTGGCAACAGTTGGTTTCAGTGTTTCCACAATGAGGGGATTCAATCCCCTCATTGTGGATTGAATCCCTTTTAAGGGGAAATTAGGATCCAGAGGGGAAGAAAAAGGGGAAGGACATGAAAATGGGAAATTGCGGGAAATTATGGGTAAAGCCTAGCCTAAAATAATGCGACACGGAACAAATTTTTATGGACTATACCGTGGTCTAGTGTTGTCGTATAAAAGAAACTGTGGCAACACGTGCAGATTTTATATATTTTATTTATCTGTTATAGAATAAGATAGATTAAGACCTTTTTTTTCTTTAGTTACTAACACTAGTGCCAATTCTAAAAACTACAGCAGAATAATTTTTGAGGGGAAAAATGTCCTAAGTAGGGGAAATCTGAATTGACGCGTGGGGAAAGGAAATCATTTAAGTGGAAACACTGGTTGGTTTGCGTTTGTTTAGGGGGTTTTTGGCGGGATTTCATCGAGTGCGGTTGGCGTCTTATTTTAATTATTCTTAAATTCGTTCATAGTGGATATTGTGAAATAAAATTGGTGTGGTTTTGTGTAACAACTGTCTGCGTAACTGAAGAATTAGTGGAATCGTTAAAATATACGCTATTCCGGTCAAGTGGACGTGAGAATTTTATTGTAGTGTTGACTACCTCACAGAAGCTTATCGAAAAAGCCAACTCGATAGATTTCGTGCCAAACACTCCAAGAAACATTAGAATGCGTCACACCGACATTCTAATGTAAAAAGTAAAAACAAAAAGAAGATTAATTTAATTAAAGACCAGGCTGTATGGGCATTGTTCCCTTTGCCTTTCCTAAAACGGGAGAACTTCAACAGCGTTTGTTTACTATTTATTTGGGATGTATTTTCATGTGCTCCAAAAAACAAGTGAGTGAAAACCTGTTGTTACCAATCTCAGATCAAATAATAACAATAAGTAGATAAATTCTTTAGCTAGAGTATTATTATTTTGAACTTTTAACCCAATTTTAATCACAAATAAAGCTAGAAGAAATTCATAAAAATGTCATGCAATTACGCTGAAGGACTGTCTCCATACAAACATAAAGGAAAACTGGGCCTTCCTGAGGTATTATTATTTCTAAATTTCTCAATTTACGAAAAAGAGTTCGCCTTTAAACTATTCATGTTTTTCAGAAATTTGAACCTGTAGATAAATTAAAAACAAAATGTGAACTATTGGCTCTACTCATTAATCAGCCCTCCAAATTGCTTTCCAGACTGGAACTACTTTTTTCACCAACTCTAAGAATTAACGATTCTAATCTATCCTCTATCTCTTGATTTTCTGAAACACGCCGTCTTTTTCTGTGTAAGCGGTCTGTAATTCAATAAAAAAATTAACAATTACCTATTTATTCTCATCAATATACACTTTACTTAAATAATATAACCTCAAAAGCGTACCGTATACATCGTCATCATCATGTCCTCTTCTACGATTCATGATTATGATAAATTTATACAAACACCAGACACTATTACAATCAAATTAGTTTTTAGGAAATATTACAATTCCGACACAATCGGGATGTACTGATTATGCTTTATTTTGAGCTTGATCTTTCTTTCAAAATCAAGGGAACAATACCTTCAAAATAAACCAAACAACCGTGTTGCGTTCCAAACCCACGCTTCAGGTGCAACAAATGTCAAATTTGTTTGAAGTTACATACATCTTAAGTCAAAATTTAAAACATCTGGGTGAAATGTTGCACTTAGAGCGTAGGTTTGGAACGTAGCTTCTACGTTCCGTCCCACGCATGGAGTGAAATTTTCACTCTGTCTGACGGCTAATTTTTATACATGATAAGTCAAATATCCTTCGATCAACAATTCTATAGCTCTTTCTATAAATATTGGGTCAGCACGTAAAATCCGTCTCTGTAAATATAGCCTCACTCGAGGTGTGAGATTATTATTTTTATATATTTATTATTTTTCTTATTCTAAAAATTAGTTCGGTTAATACAAAACGAAGTTACTTGCTGACCAATGACTGGTAAAAATATTTTATTTTGTGGTTCATAAGGTTGATTTCACATTTTCCTTTTCTCACCTTTACTATTTTTTTTCAAGTATCAGAAATAATTTATAAAATAATAGTTCATTTTATAAGATAAAATAACGTATGAGCAAAATAACATTTTGTTATTTGAAACCTTATTCCATTCTAGTAAACTTTTTTTTACATTTAAACATCTAGCAGTTAAATGCTTAAAAAATAAAAAAAATCATAACTATAATTGCTATTTCTTCTTTCAAATGTTTAATACTTGAAAAAGTATTCATTTGACATTGTGGGCTACCTACAATGCGAAGAGATGGCGCTGCCTTGCAGCTTAAGGCTAGGAAAATTTCGACGCGGCTAATAGGGCCGTGGTAGCATAATGGTCAGTGCATTCGCCCGGATAGCGAAGGATGCGGGCTCGAGTCCCGTCCGCTGCCTGGTCCGCGTGGATTTTTTTTTTCTAGTAAACCTTTCTTTAGATTTAAATCATAACAATATTAATTAATTAATAATTGTTATTGTTTGTTTACAAAATTAAATGTTTTTGGTTTTAATTCTAAAATTTGCGGAGTGCTAAAAGAGGGTTCCAAAATTTTTTTGCAAACCGTACTTTTCAAGCGATATTTGACAGCTGGGGATCGCTCTATACGCGGACAGTTTTTAACTTTGATTTTGTATGCAACCCGTATCTATAGAATTGACGATCGAAGCAAATATCAGAGTGAAAAATTGCACAAAAGTTAATCCAGGGCTACATTCGAAACAATGGTAGTTTTCCAATTACAGCACTGGAGCGCATTATGCGGCATAATGCTTATCGTTGAATGTTTTAAAACTTATATTTATTTTTTAAACAGTTTGATTATTTAAATAATTAAATTAACTTTGATTGTTTAAAAAAAAACTATTTAATGAAACGAAAGCTTTAATAATTTTTCAACAATAAATAATATTACTTGCGATAACATATAAAGAAAACATTTCGATCAATGCCAACTTAAAAAAAAAACACTTGTTAATAGTTAGTTAAGTCTTTACGATTGCACACATCACACGAAAGCATTAGTTTTGAGAGTGCACGATTGTGCGAAGCGTTGCTGTAGTTGAAACACTCAACGTTAAGCATTAAGCCCCATAATGCGCTGTAATGCTGTAATTGGAAAACTACCTTAGCGTACTCTGATGGTGCATTTGAAAACTAATTCACGTTTCAATTAAGCATCAGCATAATTCGGCATTGTGCGCTACTGAGTCGCATTATGCTCTGTATTTAGAAGTAAGTAAGTGTAAGTAGAAGTATTATTCAAAGTTTATGTATATCCTCAGGAACACAGTGTATATAAAACAGAAACAAAATACGACTGTATAGTGTGTCTTATTAATTACCTATTTTACTTAAATGAACTGCTAGTATCAAAATCATTTTGGTCCGACTGTACAGGGTTGCTACATGCATACTAGTGGCGCCATCATTTAATGTCACGACTTTATAGACAAACTGGTGTCGATTCTGGCACGATTCTCTAAATCTAAACTTAATTCCTTGTCATTCTTTATACAGAATGAAAAAGAGAGACTGATGTTAAATTTAGGATTAAGTTTAGAGAATCACGCCAGAATCGACACCATTGTATATCGCAAAATATTTGGTCCATGATTCAACTAAAGTCGTTTCTTTAGACCCAAGAAGCTTATAGACAACACATACGTGTTGTATTTAGGCTTCTTGTTTAGATCACACTAGGGTGGCCATAGTGGTAGCAGGCAGCCTGCTTAAACTACACTATTTATTTCTCGCGCTTGTTTTCTGAGTCTGAATCTGATTCTGAATCTGGGTGCTTTCCAATTACAGAGCATAATGTGACTCAGTACCGCACAATGCCGAATTATGCTGATGCTTAATTGGAACGTGGATTAGTTTTCAAATGCACCAGCAGAGTGCGCTAAGTTCAGTATTGAAAATAAAGTCAATGTTTGTACCTTCATCCATACTTATATTTATTTTTTTAACAGTTTGAATTAAGTTTGATTGTTTAAAAAAAACTATTTAATGAAACGAAAGCTTTAATAATTTTTCAACAATAAATAATATTACTTAATATAACATATAAATAAAACATTTCGATCAATGCTTCAAACTTAAAGAAAAAACACTTGTTAATATTCTGTCACTGGGTTGGTACGATTGCACGCATCACACGAAAGCTTACTTTTGAGAGTGCTTAATTGTGCGAAGCGTTGCTGTAGTTGGAACACTCAACGTTAAGCATTATGCCGCATAATGCGCTATAATGCTGTAATTGGAAAGCTATGTCTGAGTGCACTCTGGCCGTACCCTTAGACATTAATCTTAGGTCATAAAAAAAACATTAGTAATCTGTGAGTCGTTTCCCTAACGCCGGCACTTCAATTGATTCGTATTTGCTTTTTGTAAACTTGATAACAGTCTCTTCTTTTCACTCCCAATCAAGTACTCCCAATAAGGACATGTTGTCAAAATGTTAATACAAATTGCCATGTGAAGTGCCGACATGAAAATCTATTGATCAAATTAAAATTCGTATGGATATATGGATAGGGGTTGGCAACAGTTGGTTTCAGTGTTTCCACAATGAGGGGATTCAATCCCCTCATTGTGGATTGAATCCCTTTTAAGGGGAAATTAGGATCCAGAGGGGAAGAAAAAGGGGAAGGACATGAAAATGGGAAATTGCGGGAAATTATGGGTAAAGCCTAGCCTAAAATAATGCGACACGGAACAAATTTTTATGGACTATACCGTGGTCTAGTGTTGTCGTATAAAAGAAACTGTGGCAACACGTGCAGATTTTATATATTTTATTTATCTGTTATAGAATAAGATAGATTAAGACCTTTTTTTTCTTTAGTTACTAACACTAGTGCCAATTCTAAAAACTACAGCAGAATAATTTTTGAGGGGAAAAATGTCCTAAGTAGGGGAAATCTGAATTGACGCGTGGGGAAAGGAAATCATTTAAGTGGAAACACTGGTTGGTTTGCGTTTGTTTAGGGGGTTTTTGGCGGGATTTCATCGAGTGCGGTTGGCGTCTTATTTTAATTATTCTTAAATTCGTTCATAGTGGATATTGTGAAATAAAATTGGTGTGGTTTTGTGTAACAACTGTCTGCGTAACTGAAGAATTAGTGGAATCGTTAAAATATACGCTATTCCGGTCAAGTGGACGTGAGAATTTTATTGTAGTGTTGACTACCTCACAGAAGCTTATCGAAAAAGCCAACTCGATAGATTTCGTGCCAAACACTCCAAGAAACATTAGAATGCGTCACACCGACATTCTAATGTAAAAAGTAAAAACAAAAAGAAGATTAATTTAATTAAAGACCAGGCTGTATGGGCATTGTTCCCTTTGCCTTTCCTAAAACGGGAGAACTTCAACAAAAAAAAAAAAAAAAGCGTTTGTTTACTATTTATTTGGGATGTATTTTCATGTGCTCCAAAAAACAAGTGAGTGAAAACCTGTTGTTACCAATCTCAGATCAAATAATAACAATAAGTAGATAAATTCTTTAGCTAGAGTATTATTATTTTGAACTTTTAACCCAATTTTAATCACAAATAAAGCTAGAAGAAATTCATAAAAATGTCATGCAATTACGCTGAAGGACTGTCTCCATACAAACATAAAGGAAAACTGGGCCTTCCTGAGGTATTATTATTTCTAAATTTCTCAATTTACGAAAAAGAGTTCGCCTTTAAACTATTCATGTTTTTCAGAAATTTGAACCTGTAGATAAATTAAAAACAAAATGTGAACTATTGGCTCTACTCATTAATCAGAGCAAGCATGTTGTAGTTCATACGGGAGCCGGTATCAGCACTTCAGCAGGAATACCAGATTTCAGGTCAGGTTCACATCATACTTGAAAATATGATTTATTTAGAGAGGGAAATTAACTCTTGAATAAATTTTTGTTTTTCAATAAATTACAGAGGACCGAATGGAGTTTGGACATTAGAAAAGAAAAGAAAGAAACCATCAACTAATGTATCATTTACTGATGCAAAGCCAACCAAAACTCACATGATTTTGAGGAAATTAATTGAATGTCAAAAAGTACATTTTATTATCAGTCAAAATATTGATGGTCTTCATTTGAAATCAGGTCTGGATAGAAAATACATAGCCGAACTTCATGGGAATATGTTTATCGATGAATGCAATTTATGCAAAAAGTAAGTCAAAATATAAACCTACCTAACTCCTAATTTTGAACAGTATAAATTAACAATACAATATTGGATTTTTTAGACAATTTATACGCAACAGCCCTGTGGAGACAGTTGGTAAAAAGTGCAGTGGTGTTCCCTGTGCTTCTGAACATATGGGTGGCCGGCCTTGTCGTGGAAGATTGTATGATGGAGTTCTGGACTGGGAACACAGTCTTCCTGAAAATGACTTATTTATGGCAGAATGCCATTCCAGGTAAGTATTTATTTTCACAGGTAAATTGAGAGTCGTTAAGCAGAAACCAACCAGCAGGCAATTATGAAGCAAGTGCAAGAATGTTCTACAAACCTATATTTAAGTTTGATTTTGTTTGCTCCCTAAAATTAATTGTTTCTGTCTGCTTTCACAATCATACTTTAACATTGGTCCACAAAACTAATTCTTGCTAGCTTCAAAAATGTCTGTTGGTTGCTTTATGCTTAACACCACTCAATTTCATTCATTGTAACTGCATACAATGACCATTACTGGATTTTGATAACTAATTTTATTCTTACAGTATAGCTGATTTGAGCATATGTTTGGGAACAACATTACAAATTGTACCAAGTGGTAATTTACCACTGGAAACTGTAAAATATGGTGGGAAGTTAGTAATTTGCAATTTGCAACCTACAAAACATGTAAGTAATTAAAAAAAGTATTACTTATTACATTATGAAGTTTAGTGTTTTTACTGTTTCAGAATAAATAATTGATTTGTAATTTTTTAGGACAACAAAGCAGATTTAATTATAAACTATTATGTAGATGACATTCTTGAAAAGGTTATGAATATATTAGGAATTGAAATCCCTAGTTATAATGAAAATGACAATCCCACTATATTGGCTCAACGTATGGTGATAGATTGGACAGTTGAACGGCAAAATGTTCTTGCTTTGGACAAAACATTTAAAGCAAAAACTAAAGGGATCAAAAAGAAAAGAAAATTAGTAAAAAGCAAAAGAAACAGTTCAGAACTAAGTATTAACAATATAGAAATAGATGTGGACAGTAAACCAAAAATCATTAAGCTAGATGAAAATGACACAAGACAGAATTATGTAAGTAATATTGAAAATTGTGAAATAAATGCTGAAATTAAAGAAGAATCCAATCATAGCACTATTCAGCAAGATCAAATGAATATTATACCAAATACAAACATAAGTTGTATTTGAATACAATTATTTGGCTGTACATTCGATCATCTCTTATCCAGTGTATGTCCCTCCTATGTGTGAAATTCTGTCTGTATCTCTATAGCAATTTCACTATAATCAAGTAATAATGTACATACAAAAATTCACATCGGGTAGAGGTTAAGCCGAGATCAATGTTGTAGTGATAAATAAATCCAGAAAATATGTAACAGCATTATTTTTATTATGAAAAATAAATTATCCACTTACAATAATGCATAAGTTTTAAAAGTCTTTGGTTTATAAAAGTATAAAAACATATTGATAAATTGTCATGCTTATAGCCAACATATTGCAACCTCCCTCACAGCCAGCAAAAACCAGCAGACATGCTGGTCACATCATACTAAATTTAGTGTCAACTTAAAAACCAAGTGGCTTGAAAAGCTATTAAAGTGACGAGAGGCAGCACCATATTGTCTACCTGATGAGTCCTGGCTTCGACAAACCCACTTATAACTGCAGCTATTGTGGTGCGTACCAATGCATAGTTGACATCCAATAATTCTGAAAAACATGTTCAAGTTTATTCATGTTATTGAGATAGCATTTAAACAGTTCTTGAATAGTAATAAGTATTTTTTGTACATCTAACCATGAGTATTAATATCAATAAATAAGTAAGTTCATACAATGTTTCAAACTTTCTTCCAAAGCGAACTCTCTCATAATGTAAAAACTATTTCATCATAAATTATTGGACAAAAAAATATAATAACTTCATCTGTGTGCAATTATTGATTTTCCTTACAAACTTTCATCCCATAATTTACTTCATCATATTAAAATTTCCACAGAAAAAGTTGCCCCTAAACGTTTCCTGATTCCCATCTATCTTTATATCAAAGTTAAAGCGTAACAAACTTCCTTTCGCATTTATATTAAAGTCAACTCAATCATATATTAATCAGGATTGGTAGGTGTTATACTATTTTGATGTATAATCAATCATAAATAAATAAATACTCACCAAATAGCAGTAACGCATAAACTGTGGCTACTTGAGATAAGATATTGAAGAATGTTCCCTCGTAAGTTCTATGACCACCTGTAATAGAAATGTAAATATCATAAGTTTTATTCAGATCCGGAAACCTGAAATATTTTATGTTCTACTTATAACACAATCGTCGTAAATTAAAAAGATCAAGCGTGAACTGGCATTGATTATTCAACACACAATTAAATTTGAGATCAGTCTGTCCTTATCATACTTTTTGAGGATTAAAAAGGACAGACTGATGTCAAGTTTACAAATAGCAAACACGAACGACCATGTGAAGTGCCGGCACAACAACAATAACAATATTGTCATTGGAAAAAAACCACTTAAGACTGTGGGCATAAGTTCCTTGTTTACAATTTACTAAGACGTTGGAAGGAGCGCAAAAATGCAGCGACTGACCGCGATCATTCTGAGCGTAAAGTAAAAATTCGAAAACAGCGAATTTAGTATCCCGAACCATTCGATAAGCCTTTGATCCCAGTCACGCCGCCGGCAGCCGGCACTTGTTGGTTATAGCGAGCGATAATGATACTTAATATTACAGAGGGTTTTAAAAACAGCTTTTATAAATTAGTTGATAGCCGATAGATATAGAGAGTATAGATAGAGTTATATTTGGCTGCAGTATATCTGTATGTTAGAGTAGGTGAAGAAAGATAAGCTTTACTACTCTTAACAAACTTGCACCATTTGAAATGTCGGTATTACGTGATAATGGTAAAGCGACAAGGACAGTCATATATTACCAGGCCACTTCTTAAGCGCAGGTTTCCACAACTCTTCACTTAATTGTACTGGTAAAGCGACAAGGACAGTCATATATTACCAGGCCACTTCTTAAGCGCAGGTTTCCACAACTCTTCACTTAATTATACTTTGGGTGCACCGGGTGGCCTAAATGCTGCCACTTGTGCCTTTTTAGAGTTTACGGAATGGCATTAGTCCTGCCCTTTAATTATATATACGCCTAGATACAGTATTAACTGCACAGAAGCGGCCAGAAAAATATCTACCACTTATGGTAGATACACTCATCGCTGCACACGCACACATTGACTGCTTTCAAACAATTTGCCATTAGAGTCACGCAAATATTGCGAACTACCTGGATAGTAGTCTTAATAATTATTTAAGGATCTATCAAAACAATCTGACATTAGAGTCACGCACATATTGCGCGTAACATGAGCCGTTTCCTTTGCGTGATTTATTTGGATTGCTCTATCTAGGCGTGTCTATAATCAAATGTCCTGTCATTTGAGCTTCCTCAACACTCACCGGGCCACTTGTTGAAGCCGTAGTTGGCGCCGAACTAGCTCGTGGCGGAGTCGCTAACGCCGGCAGCCAGCACGCCGCTGAGTCGCTCCAGCGGCATCGGGCCTCAGTGCTGTCATCCTATCGTCACCACACTCACCGAGCCACTTGTTGAAGCCGTGTTGGCCCCGAACCAGCTGGCAGCGGAGTCGCCGACGCTGGTGGCCAGCACGCCGCTGAGTCGCTCCAGCGGCGCCGGACCTCAGTGCTGTCATCCTACCGTCACCACACTCACCGGGCCACTTGTTGAAACCGTAGTTGGCGCCGAACCAGCTGGCGGCGGAGTCCCCGATGCCGGTGGCCAGCACGCCGCTGAGTCGCTCCAGCGGCGCCGGGCCGGCCGTGCGCGGCACCAGTGCTAGCCCGCACGCGAGCCCAGTGAATAAGTATAGTGGCGTCATCGCAAAAGAACCGCAATCCTATATATTCAAAACAGTTTTATTAATCACTCACGGCTCGTTTAAATTTGGTAAAGTCTATAAATAATGAAAAATATTATCACAAGTTTTACATAAATTTTTAGTAGCTACAATGGACCCGGGTGACCTACCTATATAGGTATGGTTTACAAATTTACTATTAGGGTCAATTCACTACGGAAAATGGCAGTGGCTGGTATTTCTCACTGAAAGCGGTATGAAATAATTTTGAACTTTTGCTTTTCACAGTTGGTAATGATAATCACCGAACTACATATTTAGTAATCCACTACTGCTTTATCATAACGCTACTAAGAACCTTTTTCTGAAAAGCATCGAAGGATGTAAATTTTTCTCTTTAGTACACACTGTAAATGTCAAAAAAATTAGCAAATAGGCCTGCAATATCGCTCGGGAAGATTGCCGCGGGCGCAATAATTGTTTTGTATTAGAATATTACCTTTTCGTCACAATAGACAAGAAATGCTGACTGAAGCATTGATGATATAGGATCTATCTTAGATTTTCTGAGAGCCTGCAAATAAAAAAAAAATGGTTGATGTCATGCCGTTGAGCTTACCGAGTGCTTACCTACTCGGATCACAAAAACAGAAATGGCTTACGAACGGTAAGAAAAGCCAATAGCCGTAGGCCATCCAGTGTTTTGTGTCTTTAATACCCATTGCTGGGACACAGGACTTCCACTTCCCTGTGGACATAATCTATTAGAAGGATTTGTTTTAACATCCCACAATGCACGCAAGTGCGTGTCTACGACTGCGCGTACGGACGCGCCGAAGGAGCTAAGATAATTCATATTTGGTCCACCCATCTTAAGACTGACCATAGTAAAGGCCGCTGCATACGTGACGAGTTTTTATCCGGACGGGACAAGAAGGGAAGTTTTGGAAACATCGTTTCATACACAATGTATGCATACATTGTGTATGCAAAAACGCATATGTCGCGGGTACATGGACGGGGCGGGAACGTGGACGGGAAAAATATCGTCGCGGACGATGTTTAGCACGTCCCCGTCCCGTCACGCTCTGCGCGTGCCCCGTCCCGCTCGTGGTTTCGCTACGTATGCATAGCACAGTCGCTTTGTTTTGCTCATTCCGAACAGATCTGTAATGACGCGTTGATCCAAGAATATAAAATTACATTTCCAATCATTATAAAATCAACACTAGCACGTTAGATCCGAATCACTGTCACGGTGCGTATGCGTTTCCACCACGTTCCCGTTTTGAACGAGATAATCACATGCCCGTCCCGCTCACGTCCCGTCCGAAGTATTTACTTGTCACGTATGCAGCGGCCTTAAAAGTGGCTTTAATCAAACAATCGGGACTATTTGAATTCTTTGTACTGAACCTGTGGCTGTCTTTATAATTAATATTAATTATTATTGGAACAACTGGAACACGTGTTTCTGAATACGATTGTCAATATTGATATAAATAGACCAACCTCTGTCAATAACAGTACTGCAAAACCAATCCCTGCTGCAAGTGTCATCAGGTTAGGGTCCAGTAATATTCCGGACATGAAGACCAAAGAGGCTAGGATGTGGAACGATTTTCGCGTAACTGTGCTTGCTTTAACAGCGAGTTGCGTACGCGTCGCCAATACCACTAAGGCTATGACCAACAACACTGCCCAGAATAGGAATATTAAAGCCTGAAATAGAAATTACAAATAAAATAGAATGCAACACATTAAAGAAATGACCTTAAGTCTAAATAGATGATAAAAATATTAATCAACTTTATAATACCTAATAGATAATTATGTTGTTTATACACTCTGGGGTGTTTCCCAGGGGGTTCAATTTGCAGCAAGCCCTTAATGAGTCACAATTACATTGGTATCTACTCCTAGCAATGCCCTTAAAGGACTAATTTATTAAAAAGCACTTCCCAGGGTCAGGGAGGATCGTGTCATCTAACAATGAACATAGTAGCTGATAAGGGGCATACAATTTTAAATCAACTGTAAGATACTCACCCTATTACCTTCCAGAAATATATATTGAATTATATGGTAAATGCAGTTAAATCCCAAGGTACAATGTAATATGAACAGTCCGACTGCTCCACTGCCAGCAATAATGTAGCCCAATGTCTCAATATTTCTTTGTTCATCCTTCAGTAGACATAAAGCTGTTATAATTATTCCAACAGTTAACAGCACAGTCTGAAGAGAAATAATGTTATGTATATAAAAATTTTGTAACATGAATATTATTATTTGACTTGCATGCCTCTATGTAGTAAATCTTTATTAAAAATTATAACTGTTTATTCACACATTAACACTTGATTTTTTTATAAATAAAAACAAACAGCAAACTCATAGTTGTTAAGATTTTGCAGAATAAAGTGTATGTCATTTTCCACATTAAATAATAATAAATAAATATTTCCAACACTCACACCAATTAACCTAGCCCCAAAGTAAGCACTATAAGGCTTGTGTTACGGGATGCTAGGGTAACGGATAGAATACATATACTGTACATATATAAGTATATTTATATAGAAATACATATCAAACTTTCATGACTGGAGTACAAATGCTCGTATTCATCACACAAACATCTGCCCTCACCGGGATTTGAACCTGTAACCTCTCGAGTCAGCGACGCCATGAAACCCGGCGTATAAACCACTCGGCCACGGAGGTCGTCATAACATATAATCAAACCTAATTAACTTACAAAAATAATAGTATAAATAAAATCCAACTCTTTATCAGACTCATCAAGATTGGTTGTAGTTTTGGCAATGGTTGCTGCAACAAACAAAACTGCAGCTTGCAGAAGTAACATAGCTTCACCAATTGTGAATGTTTTTTGAAACTGGTTAAGTGAGGTGCGTAGCAACCAACTGAATGACAGTACTGATGTGAGAGAATAAATCAGAGAAAACAGCAGATCTGAAACAAGATACACTTTTTATAAAAAATAAATCAATCATTTTTAATAAAAAAAAAATAAAGTTTATGACCCTTACCACAATTCAAGATTGTATACATCAATAGAACAGAAATAAACCCTGAAGCAATGCAACCCGAATAGACAGATTGTTGTATTACCAAACTTGACATGGACAAAAATATGATGAAAAGTACACAATAAATGAACAAGCCAATAGAAATGACTGATACAAATTTGTATAATGGTGATACTGCATATTGGACAGAATAAATATTTAGAATTATTGGTAATAATGCACAACACCAGAGACCGTTGCTTTCTGCTGGCCTAAAATAAAAATCAAGAATTAGATTACAATTATAGACTAATAATAATACCTTGAACAAATAAACCTCACTAATAAATAGATATTAAAATTTAAGCTGAGAAGAGTGTAAATAAAGAAAAAATAACTTGAATGAATAAACTTCACTAATAAATACATTCAAAAATTTGCGGCAATTCTTACCTAGTTTGTATTCCAGCTTTTTCAGTATTTCTAAGCACTTGGCTGTCTAAAGTTCTAAAAATCTGCGTACACCTGGCATCAACATACAGAAAAAAGTTTTGATCCATGACGTTTTGCGAAACAATCTAATTCTTTCGTCTTTATTTATTCATAATAAAGGATAGGAATAACCCGGATCTACTAAAATAATTTTTTGCCTTTTGGAATTGATAAAGTAAACTTTACCTACATCCCGATATAAATAAATTATTTAACAAAATAAGGTCTTTATTTCCACTGTCCTGAAGTTCAAAATTGAATCAGCTTTCCATTCTATTAGAATTTCCGGTTTTGTTTACCTACTGCTGTCAATGTCAAAATATCGTTTTTTTTATTCTCCCTTTTTAAGAAAAGCAAATGAGCCAAAGCGTCAGCCTCTTCTTTCTTAATTGTCTGTAACTTTCCTATTTATTTAAAGTATTTAATTATTTTATAAAAAGCAAAGGTACCTACCTAGCCTACGTTAGGAGCAAAAAACCATCTTAAACGAAGTATCTAAATTCTACGTAATCTGTGTTAAGATGTAGTGATGGGGGTAAGATCGATTACAAAAAAGTTTATCGATTTTCTGTCGATAAGCTATTTGTAAAAGTAGAGTTCCTAACTTCTATATTAAAAAGAAAAATGCCACAGTTTGTATCAATACACAGCGTAAATAACAGTTTAGGTACAATACTTGAACTAGGACTTTCATTTAGCCTGATGTGTTCAACTGGATGTACCTGTCTTATCTTTTTATATCTAACGCTATGCAACAATGCTTGTCTTATTGTATATCGCTTTAAATGACAAGATTGCCAGCGAAATAACAGCAATAAGTTTTGGTAACTTTGTCCAAATACTGACAATGCATCAGTTATGGTTCTACATTTTCATTTTATAACTAATCACATGAATCGATAATTTTATAGACAAGGCTTAACATAATTTGGGTTGTCTTCTCTGTTCATTTATTTATCAATGAATATAAAAACTGCCATGGCGTTTTTGGCTCTGTAAAATAAGAAGACTTTGGGAGCAGTGAAAGAAGTATGACTAGATGCCACATTGCTAGTAATTATTGGAAACATCTTAAACAACATATTGTCACAAACGCTCTCGACACGTAACCGCGAAAGTGCCAGTGTGTAACATTGTGTGTTAATTGTGTGAACTGAGTGGTGAATAAAGAACTGTCAAGCGTGAACTGGCATATAATTTCGAACCCCATCCCGACACGTAACAATGTATAGAAGCTTGTCTTAGAGGAAGTTGATCTATTCAACTTCCTCTAAGACAAGCTTCCTACAGACTGAATTTAAAATTTCACATTTCAACAAACTATTTGCTTTATCTCTATTCTCTTCTAGATACAATACATTCAAAGCTTGGGAATAACCACAGTTTAAGGTCCTTTAGTTTGACTTTTTTTAAAAACATTGATTTAATATGCATATAAAATTCGACCTGTTGAAAAACCTTTTCATGGTTTACTAGCGGCCTGCCCTCACTTCACTTCGGTGTAGAGCTGTAGTGTAGACTATAGTTTTTGTTCTCAGGCTTGTATTATACACAATGTCATTTTTGTAACACCTAATTCCAATAGGAAGCCCGGTAGCGTCGGAACCGCTATGTCTCTGCATTTTAAATCTGTAATATCTTCGAAAATATTCATTTAAATAACATGCTTTAAAAAGCCAAATTGATCTATGTTAAATGCACAATGTATTTAATGTACTTAATTGGATAAGGATGAATGCTATATTGCTGAAAATCGTTTCGTAAATAAGCTATTATTTCTCGTAAAAAGTATAGGATAAAAATGGTTATTGTGGGTTATCCCTAAGAGATAGACATATACCATCGTGGACTCTTTTGTAGACCTTTTTAAGGTGTACAATACTGTAGTACATTATCCAACAAGCATCAGTGGATAAGTAATCAGAGACAGAACGTTTCCTAGCTACATAGGATGGGCGATACGGCTTTAAATCCCAGCCGCGGAGGGACTTTATTATTGGTGATTTTAAAAATATAATTTGCATCGTGGTTTTACAAAAATAAACCAGTTTTTAATTTTACGCTCTGATCTTATGTATGTGTTTTATGCTAAACGAATGCATCAATTGATCGACTTGAAGTTCCCCTCCCAGCCCCAGTTCCAGTATCAAACCCTTTCTATATAATTACAATAGAGACTATCGATAAGTCAAAATTGATATGCACTAGCGGCACTAGTTATTTTAGTTTGTTTCCGGCCGGTGTCTGCTGTGGTGCTCTGTCTCACTGGCGAAATATATAGGTACCTGAAATACGGAGTAACGGAGTATTAAATTACAAAAAGTACTAAATTGCCTTCACATACACGAAGAAAGATTGTGAAAATAACAATGTTACGAAATATTAGTAAACTCTTGCAGACGCAAACAGTGAAATTCTCTTCGGCGACTGCACCTGCACCGAACACCAACCCAGAAGTATTTTATACCGGCGTAAGTACCATTGAATCCAGTTTATTTACAAACTAACCTGAAATAAAACAGCCGAGACGAGTATGTAGGTATGTACATGAAGACCGTTGTAATGGATATACTTTCACTAGGATTATCGCTCTTATTGCTATGTTATAAAGGCGTAGTCAAATTGTGTGTATCGACGTGAGCTTGTACGTACACCACGTTATTTCTCGTTTTTTCTGATCACTGTAATGTAGCACAGGTCATCCCTTTGTACTGAATAGGGAGAACTGGATTAGTTAGACCACTACGCGAGCCCAGGGATAGTGGGTGCTAACAATTGCAGATAGAGCCTTCATCAAGGGTTTAAGTATGCCTTCGGAAACACGAAAGTTTTTGTTTAACCATCGTATGACCAGCCAACATGAAAGTTGCTTCACTTCCATAATCACAAACTGATTGCACTAACCACCATGCCATCAAGCTCATATTATTTTTAATATTTTATATTCATGCAAATCACTCTATTTACAGCTATTTATCAATAATGAATGGGTCAAGTCATCAGATGGCAAAACTTTCAAGACTGAAAATCCTTCAACTGGCGAAGTGATAGCAGAAGTACAGCAGGCTGGCAAAGCTGATGTTGACAAAGCTGTTCAAGCAGCAAAAGATGCCTTTAAGTTGGTACATTTTATTTCTGCAATCTCCTTGATAATATTTTATTCATATTGGGTAAAATATACTTAGGTAACTCTACTGGAAGTTTGACTGTTAAAAAGGACTAAAATGTGTTACACTAGGTTAGTTTGTTTTTCAACTTCCAAAAAAATTTAATTGCCACCAATTAAATAAGACATCATTATTCTGTAGATGCATTACTGAAAAGGGTGCAAAACGTCAATAAATACATAAATTCAGTGCATATAACCCGTTAAAACTATTTTACTCAATGAGTGATGTGCATGAAAACATAAGAAACAAATTCATTGCCACCATCGAAAAATTAATAATATAATAATAACAACTCTTAATTGGGTCTGTTTATATGATATCAGATGGAAAACTAACATCTAAGGATGGAAAAATCTGCACTTGGGTAATCAAAAAATACCTGTGATGATGTAGTGAAACCTTGTAGTAATACTAATTGAAATACATTTTTCGGAATTAATATTTTATTTAAAACACACACTGTAAAATTTTAATACGTGTTACACTTGTTTAATCAGGCTGGGATCACCATGGCGAACAATGGATGCTTCACAGAGGGGTGTAATCATCAACAGACTTGCTGATCTTATTGAGAGGGACAGAAATTATTTGTCTGTAAGTAATATATGTATTTATATTTCTATATTAATCTATACTAATATTATAAAAAAGTAAAGTTTGTCTGCTAGTAAATTATATGCAGTAAAAACTTCTATTTTAGTTGAAGTGTACATAATTATATCATATTTAGTTGCAATTTACATATAATTTTTTGTACTGTGTAATCACATGATTATTTGAATTTAAATAGGTAAGTACCTACATAAACTATGCTAATTGTGGTACATCAAGGTCATATAACACAGTTGTTAAGTTATATGCTGTTTATATAAAAAATCAGAAAAAGCAATGTGTTTTGTGTTCTTAAAATTAAACAGTGAGTAAGACTATATACATGGTTTTCTGCTCATCATTATTATATTCGTAGTTTCTCTCCGCCACACGATGGACCCGGCAGCCACATGGTGAATACATGGATTGCTTAGAAGTTTGTCTCCCTTCAAGTTAAATTTTCACATTAAAGAGAGCTGCTCCGTTAAATGCTGCTTTTGTCGTCGTACCAAACATTTGTTTAGTTTAGGCCTAATAGCTCAAAGCCTTGTCTGTCACAAGGCTATTAAACACAATTTTGGCTTTTCTGTTTCTTATGGGATGTTTCAATAGTTTATGCCCGCTTCTGCGCTTAATCATTGTTCTCCAATGCAAACTATGATCCTCAAATTTAATTTCACTTCCAACTTAATTTTCGCAATAAAGTGTAGCCTATATCCTTCTGTAAGATTTCCTTTAGTTCTACAGCAATTAGCATCAAACTTGTTCAGGGGGAAAGTGCATAACAGATTACTTTGCGTTGCTTTCACATTTCAATATCGGTAGGGAATGTGTGCACGCCAGGGCATGTGTGGTCGAATTCCTCACCCCCGGTGGGGGAAGAATAACGCAATTTTCGGATATTGAAGAAAAGAAGGGCACACCCTAAAGTTTTAGTAGGTACGGCCGCGAGCTTTGATCATTGATTGTTTATAACCGGAGTATTCTACATTACCAGAGGTGTAAAGGATACATTTTAAAAAGTATCTAAAATACAAAATACCAGGTAGTCAATTATTTAGATAACAGATACAAGATACCTTTGGAAAAAGTATTTGAAATACCAAATACAAGATACGTATTTTCAAAATACTTTTTTTAAGATAAAGATACTTTTTGAAACGAAACATGTTAGCAATATAGCCAGACTGCTGTGCCTGTTTTTTGAAAATATAACTGTAAGGCCACGCCCCTAAAGACGATGCTCTTTCAATCATCAAATTCATTGATTTTACTTGCATTCACGTTTCTTCAATATTTATTAAGAACTATGAAGTATGACAGTAATGGTGTATTATTTTTTATCGATATTCTGAAAGCGCAGTCTGTTCATGATTGGTTTGGTTTTGGATTGGTGACCGTGATTATTAATAATATGCAGGTTGTTTGCGATTGGTTGGGTTTGGGATAGGTGACCGCGATTATTAATAATATGCAGGTTGTTTACGATTGGTTGGGTTTGGGCCGCCCGGGGCGAAGGACAATTTTATTTTGCCGCCCTCGTATTTAAATGATTGAAATATTTTTATTAGTTAATGTAAAATTTTACCGCCCCCTAAGATAGCCGCCCGGGGCGGGCCGCCCCTGCCGCCCTCACTACGCTACGCCACTGACAACAATGCATGCGTTTTAAAATTAACCCTTCCCTTAAGGAAAAGCGCTTTTCTTTGTGTAGCGGATTTTCGTGTTTTTCCGTGATACTATACTGCATGCCATTGTAATATACGAAAGTTTAAACAAATTAAAGCTGTAATAGCTACTGTCACCAGCTCCCGGTCTATTCCTGTCGCCCTTTCCAACAGCGCGATATAGGGTAGGTAGGTACGGCATGCTTCCTATCAATTCCAGTGCGTCGAAATAAATAACTAGGTTTGATTATCTTCAAGTTGATCATATACTTACGCTTACTGCAAATACAAATAGAACGCAATTATTTATCGTATTGTATTTATATGTTAGTATGAAATAAACGTTTTATTATCTGCTTATAGAGAAGATCGAAAAAAAAACAAAGTTATAAATGTTCAGTGTCATTATTACCATAATCAGAGATCATTACAATGTACCTACTTATTGTCTGTTTTATCTGCACTGGAGGTTTTATGTAATAATAACATACATAATTGGAGTATCTGACAACATGATTGCGCTTTTTTATTAACTGATTAAACGCTGTCAGTATATTATTATCGTGGACAAGAGGTTTACTTGCCGGCCCGCGTATGTTATGCATATTCATGATCATGCTTATAAACGAGTAAGTGACAAGTTGTCACTACTTTATATACTTATAAGCTAACGAGTTGTTATCGTGAAATATTAACTAAATGCGTTATAATTCTTTAGTACAAACGAAGCAGTAGTACCTACTTCTCTCATAAGAAACTACCGAAGCATGAATATTGTTAACAATATGAAACTAAAATATAGAAAATTAAGAAAAATCCTATGTATCTGAGAATCACCCAATCACATCAATAGAATCTTTAATTCATTGCTTAGGTACCTAACCTACCTATCCGATGCAATTTATTAGGTTTCAGCGACTTAGCTACGCTAATTACGGTTCCCCTCGCTATCGCAAAGATTCAAACCGCGGACGACACAGCAAACGATATCGTACGAACCGGACGCGCTCGATAAACGCATAGAGACAAAGCCCCTTTTTTTTGTCTGGGAAATGCCTTACGCATCGTTCAACCACCAGGAGAGCGAGAAGAAGGTATGTGGGACTCCTCCCTGCTCATTACAGCCAGCCCTTGGGCCGGGTGAAATGAGCAGGGCCCTACCTAACGCCATGCACAGAGCCACTAAAAACCAGACAATACTCCTGCGGTGGTCACCCGGCGTACATTCTGAGGACCGCAGTCCCCCCAATGCACATCGGGAGTGCGAGTGAGTGGGTGTGTCGATGTCTCAATGTCGCAATGTCGCCTGAATCGCAGAGTCTGGAGACGCTGGACAATGGCAAGCCGTTCATGGCCGCGTACTACGGCGACGTTGCGGCGATGATCAAGAACCTGCGCTACTACGCCGGCTGGGCAGACAAGAACCACGGCCGCGTGCTGCCCACTGATGGCAAATACTTGGCCTACACGCGACACGAGCCCGTCGGTATGTATGCTTGTATTTCATTTTACAAGCGGATCTGACGGACGTTGTCCAGCCTGATCCTATTAATCGGGTATTCAGATCGTAAACGGAATTAATTACAAAACTGAAATTTTGGTATTTTATGTAGAATGCTGGCCCCAAGCAGAACATTTAGTTAATAAATTAATTTGATGACCTCCGTGGCCGAGTGGTTTGTACGCCGGGTTTCATGGCGTCGCCGACTCGAGAGGTTCCGGGTTCGATTCCCGGTGCGGGCAGATGTTTGTGTGATGAATGCGAGCATTTGTACTCCAGTCATGGAGGTTTGATATGCATTTCTATATAAATATATTGATATATGTACAGTATATGTATTCTATCCGTTACCCTAGCATCTCATAACACAAGCCTTACAGTGCTTGCTTTAGGGCTAGACTAATTAGTGTGAGTGTTGGAAATATTTATTTATTAATTAATTAAGTTATTTTTATGGGGGATCCCTAGCAAATCGTAAGTGACCCGAGGTGTCAGATTTTAAAATAGGGTCCCCCATTCCTTTGTTGTCCCAGGGCCTAACACCTCTAATTGCGACCCTGTATCTATGTATATCTATTTTAGAATTCAACAATCGATATCAATAATCGGTTCACCAGGTTAGGCGTGACAGCGCAACAAACAGACTTTCGCTTGTATAATATATATTTCCAACACACACCAATTAGCCTAGCCCCAAAGTAAGCACTGTAGGCTTGTGTTATGGAATACTAGGGTAAGGGATAGAATACATATACTGATACATAAATAAGTATATTTATATAGAAATACATATTAAAAAGATATAAGATAAGATATTTAAGATTATACAGTAGACGTAAGTTTGCAGCATCCAATTTGACAATATAAACAACAGATCGTTCAACAATATCAAGCTGATAACATACTTACACTATCATATCAATTAACGCACAGTACTGTACTTCTAGTATTATCATCGATAATGAGTAATGTTTCTAGTAAATAAGTTGTTATGTTATCTATCTTGCAGAGTAAACAAATACTAATGGTTAGGTTAGCAATAGGTATGATGACAGGGTAAAGTAAACTAAATTCTATTTAGTCAATCAGATTATTAAAAAATAATGGACACATGTTTTGTCTTTTGTCCAGCAACCAAGAAATTGGCAAAGATAAACGCTTTCAGTTAGGGACTCGCTACTCCCTAACTTTAACGCTCGTGACGCCACTTCTAAGTAAAAATTGTACAAAGACGTGACGTCATGCGATATCGCAACGTTATCTCCGTAATGTTTGGAATATAGAAAATAATTGTGTTTTCCAAGACTTTTTTATCTACCTGATGGATTAAGAAAAAGAAATAGTCATCATCCCTATTTTAAAATTTTGCTGTCCAAGTCTTTTCAGAATTAATTTAAGAGAATTCCATATTTAAGGCTATTTTATTCTAATTCTAACTAAAAGTTATTTATCTAATATTGTGTTTTAATTACCGATTGCAAAAATACATTGAAAAAATTTTGTTCATATTATTTTACTTAATAATCTATCTGTCAAATGAATAGAAAAAAAATCTAACACTCGCACCAATTATTCCAGCCCCAAAATAAACACCGTAAGTCTTGTGTTATATAATACTAGGGCAATGGATATGTGCTTAAATAAACAGTCATGACATGGGCAAAACTGTGGTATTTACCTTACAAATATTTGCCCTACCGGGATTTAAATCCAGGATCTCTGAGAAGACGATACCTTGAAAACCGGTGCATATACCACTCACAACTCGGAGGTCGTTAGACCCTGGGGGTTTAAATTACTTTTTTTTTAAGTATTTAACTACTAGATCACTAAATCTAAGCTAATTTTTTTCTAGTATAATTTTATTTTATCGAGTTTTATTCAAAATTAAGGATCAGATCTTAGTTTATATTTATTTGTTATGTGTGTAGGTGTGTGCGGTCAGATAATTCCTTGGAACTTCCCCCTTTTGATGGCGTCTTGGAAGCTCGGACCGGCGTTGGCCACCGGCAACACAGTCGTCATGAAACCGGCCGAGCAAACCCCGCTCACTGCACTATACGTGGCACAACTGTGCAAGGTATTAACGATTGAGTATCGTTAACTATTTAGATTTATAATCACATATCATCAGTATCAGGCTATCAATGTCCCTACTGCTAAGGCACATTACCTTCTTCAAGCCGGCAGAGCAGTCTTGACGCTATATGTGGCACAACTGTGCAAGGTATTAAGGGTTGTATTTATACTTAAGAATACTCTAATAAAACAAAATACTATTACAAATAATGATGTTGTTCTCGGTCGCTACTGTGACTTTCCTTGGTCTCATACCAAAATATACCAATGCTCATGTATGTTAAATAAATACTAAGTAACATCTTTATGTTTAATACATATAATTATATATATATATATTTATATGTAATATATATAAATATATATTTATACATGTTCTTTAACAAACGAGCGGTATTGACCCAGTTTACAACTCTGCAATGCCGCAAAATTTTGCATGTCATACAAAATTAATGTTATGTAGATTTAGTATTTTTGTTACTGTTTTATTGTGCTATTGATTATTTAAAGTAGTTAAGATCTTTTTGCCTCAAACAGGGTATTCCTAGTTCAGGTTATGTATTTTTCTTTACCTTTTCTTGTTTTTCTTAGATCTAAGTTATAAAGTAAAATTATTATTATATATATTTAGATATGTTTTACTATATGTTCGTATATAATGTTTTGGTAGGAAGCAGGCTTCCCCCCGGGCGTAGTGAACATGTTGCCGGGCCACGGGGACGCGGGCGCCGCACTCGTGGACCACCCGCATGTCGACAAGATCGCCTTCACTGGTAACTATAACTTTTATCGCAAATAATGTTGGGACACATTAAGTAACCCAAATGAGTTTTCTTGCATACTATTATCTGTTTCTTTTTGCAATTGGCATCTTTTTTTAAAGTTGTAAGATGAAAATTGATATTATTAAAAAAAGTATAAATCTGAAATGCTATTTCGGTTTTTTCTTAGATTACTTAAAAACGATATTTCAGTAATAAAATTCAATTGTTATTCCTCCCGTCGGGGCGGACTTCACGAAATTTAACACTAATTATACACTATATTAGTATTCTCTAAATCCTGTTTAGCTAGAAATATATTAATCGTACCCGTCCCTTTTCGTTTATAATGCGAGTCTAACTTTTGTGAAGTTAGCAGCGAACGCATAGTGCAGGTTTCAGTTCTGTGAATCCCCACCCCACATTTCGTTTACTGCGTCACGACTTGCGCTAACTTCACCGCCATAAGTTAGAATCGGACTATACTGCACCACGAATAATGTTTTATTTACTGAAAAATAACTCGTGAAATCCTCTATCAGGCTCAACGGAAGTGGGCAAGTTGATCCAGCGCGGTGCGGCCGGCTCACTAAAGCGTATAACGCTAGAATTGGGCGGAAAGTCGCCAAACATTATATTCGGAGACGTCGATTTAGAAAAGGCAGTTGAAGCGGCACATTTCGCTCTGTTCTACAATATGGGACAGTGTTGTACTGCAGGTCAGTAAGTTAAAGCTCTACAATTTCTTCTTTTATAAGACTGTATCTACTAACATTTACAAGGCGAGTTATCTAAAAACCTAACATCATAGTCATAATCAGCCTATTAATGTCCTCACTGCTGGGGCATAGGCCTTTCCTATAGATAATACAATCGGAATAGGGAAATACAACCATTTTCAAAAGTGTCTCCAACGATATTAATTACCCTAGATACAACAACACGAACAAAATCGTGGCCGAAACGTGTCCAAAAGGTACATTGTACGTTCCACGGAGCTCCTCAAGATGATCGCGTGATCAAAACCATATAAGGCTTTATTTAAACATTGAAAGTCACCTTTAATGAATAATATATAAGGTATTAATTAAAACGCATGCGTCAAAGACTTCTGACAGTTCGAAATGCAAGGTTTTAATTGTTTGCAATATTACGACATTTGCTATATGCGGAAGAATATAGATTCTTTTGACTCTACGCGCAATTCTAAATATTGCTGTTAGCAGATACGGGCCACGAGGAAAAGAGACTGCTATACGGCGACGGTTATACGTCGCATTAAGACCATGCATTTGAATATCACAGATATTTTATATTAAATCAGTTTATAGCAAGTATTAGAACAAAATTCGCTTTCAATGCGTTAAATTAACAAACATTGATTAGATACCTGTCGAAAAAACGACACTTTTCGTACTTTAAGTATTTTTTCGCAATTTTTTCACGGAGTTCTGTGGCATCTTGACTTTGTAACGGTCCGCGCGTGACTGTGAATCAAGAAGTGCTTGAGTTTAGTTCAAGCAGTTTATTAATATAGAGCAAAAAGTGACAGCTTGACACAGTAACAAATAACTTTGTAATGTTTCATGTTTAGGATCTCGCACATTCGTGGAGGCATCGATATACGACAAATTCGTGGAGTTATCCGCCGAACGAGCTAAGGCCCGCGTGGTGGGGGACCCCTTCAGGCTTGACGTGGAGCAAGGGCCGCAGGTTCGATGCCTATTTATTGTTACCAGAGATCGGATAATCGGATGCATATTAACTCGTTATTTCCTTGCTAACAAATTATGGAAGTGGCTTCTGAGGATATTTTAATTAAAAATTAAATCTCGGGATTTCTATCGTATAACTATTCAGATGTATATTTACATAGTTGAATTTTAATTTTTCGTTCGTGTATTTGTGTATGTGAGGTACAAGAGAAATTGTGATGTGGTTAATAAGAAAAACACACTTTTTTTTATTATTAATATATACACAATATTTTTGTGTTATGCGCACGGGGCAACTGTCATTTGTGTTAAACTGGGTTTATTAGATCTCACGGCATTACGTGGACTGAAGGCTTCGTCAAACAGAACGCGTACTTAGCGCTGCGTAATAGCGTTATAGCGTAGCGTTTTAACGTCGCGCTCTTTTCATGTGACATAAATTGTCTAGGGGTGTATTCCGAAATAAAAAACCAGTACGCTGGCCAGTGGTAATGCCGTCAAGATTTCGATTTCGAAATCATGATCATTCAGTTATCAGTCATTACCACTGGCCAGCGTACTGGTGTTTGATTCGGAATACACCCTAGATTAGTCCAACGCTCCTTAACGTAACGTACCATTCGCCAAAGCGTAGTGAAGATCGATAGCAGAGTGTGAAAAGTTTGTTTGTTATAGAGATGTCGAGTGATTCAGATGTGGAAAAAATATTACTTTTATATAATGCTTTATCACGGTCACAGAGAAAAAGAGTATGGGTGCATGACTTGATTGATATATTTGTATATAAACTATTCTTCGTATTATATCAGCATGAGTATTTTCTAACTAATTTTATCAAATTTTTGGTCATTATAAGCAGTATTTTAACACGTATTTACTTGGACCCCAAAATTTGTAAAATAATACAACGCCCGGCGTTAAAGCGTTGCGTACTGCTAGTCTAGCGCTGGCACTCTGTTTGACGGTATGTTACCATGGTAGTACAACACATGTTAGCATCATAACGCTCTGACGCGCGCTAAGTACACGTTCTGTTTGACAAAGAAATTAAAACTTAAATTAACATTTCCCAGAATCACGTAATTTATTAGATAAAAAGTGCTTTCCATATTAGTCAACATCTCAACTTTAGGTAAATATGCATCGGATTATCCGATCTCTAATTATTACCCCTATAAAGTTAATGATAGAAATGCTGACTACTTGAAAGCAGTTTGTGTAATCTTTCATTACATTATTAGGGTTTTTGTGGGTAATTTATTTCAAGATGAATCAATCATAAATTGGTATAAGTTCACCACAATTTTAAGAATATGCATGACAGGACAGATTGACATTTGCCATATTGATCGAGTTGACGTCATAAGCTGCTACACACCAAATATATGAGGTTACTTATGACAGGGTGGCCAACATCCTAACAAAATTGTTAATTTTTTAAACACGATTTAAAATTAATCGGAGATAAATAGAAAAAATTGTTCATGTTATATTTTAAAACCAGCTATCAACTCGTTTCGTCGTTGCCGGAAACCGAATACCACTTTTGAACCATCTCCTTTAACTATAGATGAAACGACGCGGCCTGATAATTTTACCGTAATAATCTCAACTCTCAGCCAATACATGGTTTCCTTTCTCATTTCATAATCAGATTGACGCAGAGCAGCACGCTAAAATCCTTAGCCTCATAGAGAGCGGTAAACAACAAGGCGCCAAGCTCGTGGCGGGAGGAAGTAGCGCGGGAGATCGCGGATATTTCGTCCAACCAACTGTGTTCAGCGATGTAAAAGATGACATGGATATCGCCAAAACTGAGGTAAGAAGGAATGGAGATAAAGGAATTAAGTACTAGGGAGGGTGAACAACACCAAGCTCGTAATGGGAGAACGCGGCTATTTCGTCCAACCTACTGTGTTCTGCAATGTTAAAGATGACATGGATATCGCCAAAACTGAGGAAGAAATATAGATGGAGAATTTAATTGGTCTAATAGTGAGCGGGAGGTGTGAATACCGATACTGAAGTTTAGTACTATCATCATCATAATCACTAACCTATTGATGTCCACACCGCTGGGGCACACACCTTTCCTATTGGAGATTGGACCGTGATCCACACGCGGGCCCGATGCAGATTGGTGGGTGCTAACGACTGCAGATTTAGCCGAGATCAACGGTTTAACGTGTCTTCCGAAGTACGGAGGAGCTCGAGATAAAAAAAATTTGGTCAACCATCTTATAACTAGCCATGGCGAAAGTTGCTTATCTTCCTCTATCGCAGACCGCACGCACTAACCACCTGCGCTATTGAGCTCCTTCGTTTAGTACTAGATGACGGTAAACAGCAAGGCGCCAAGCTTATGGAGATCGCGGATATTTTTTCCAACCAACCGTGTTCTGCGAAGTTAAAGATGACATGGATATCACCAAAACTGATGTGGACTATCTACGCAAAACTCAGAACTAAGTGTCGTTTTTGTCATGCTCACATTGACGTTAAGTCCACTGGTATTCTCACGCAGTTTTCAAACAGAATTTATTCGTGACTATTTGCAGGCGTTGACAAATAATAAGACATCTGGCTATTTTTGGCATACCGCTAAAGAATTAACTCCATCTTTAGAACTTCCTAGTTCTCAGCAGTATCCATGCTTTTGTAAAGATTTCGTTGCGCTGCTTAATATTGATAGAAAAAACGCCATTGAACATTATAATGGTGTCGATTCTGGCTTGATTCTCTAAACCTAAACTTAAATTTGACAATAGTTTAACCTTATGATTCTCTATAAAGAATGAAAGGAGAGACTGATGTTAAATTTAAGAATCATGCCAGAATCGACACCATTGTGTAGATTCCGAAGTGAGATACTGAAATAATTTTGCAATGACAATCAGCCCCCTGATAGCGAAGATGCAAAGAAGTTTCTTATCATCTTTCAAATACAAAAATCTTTCCAATTCTATGTCTATTTCTTTCAATTACAACTGAGTTTGAAATCCAATATCTATCGCTCCATTTAATGAGAAATGGAATATTTATTATAGCATAGCTTTTACAATGATCTAATTATATGTCTATTAGATGATTTGACGACCTCCGTGACCCGAGTCGTTTGTACGCCGGGTTTCATGGTGTTGCCGCCTCGATAGGTCCCCGGGATCGAATCCCGGCGGGGGCAGATGTTTGTGTAATGTATACGAGCATTTGTACTCTAGTCATGGATGTTTAATATGTATTTCTTTATAAATATACTTATATATTTACAGTATATGTATTCTATACGTTACCCTAGCATCCCATAACACAAGCCTTATATGGCGGAAATATTTATTTATTCTTATCATCTTTCAAATACAAAAATCTTACCAATTCAATGTCTATTTTTTAATTTCAACTGAGTTTGAAATCCAATATCTATCGCTCCATTTAATGAGAAATGGAATCCTTATCATAGCTTTTACAATGATCCAATTATATATTACTAGCTGTGCCCCGCAATGTTACCCGCGGTTTATTAGGGATATTTTCCCGCAGTAAAACGTAGCCTATGTGTTATTCCAGGATATCAGCTAACTCCATACCAAATTTTATTAAAATCGCTTCAGCCATTTAGACGTGAACAAGTAAAAAACATACACACTCGCAAACTTTCGCCTTTATAATATTAGTGTGATGTTTTCAGATCTTCGGTCCAGTGCAGCAGATAATAAAGTTCTCGTCCATAGAAGAGGTGGTGGAGCGCGCCAACAACACGGAGTACGGACTAGCTGCCGCCATCTTCAGCAACGATTTGGACCGCGTCAACTACATGGTGCAGGTGAGGAATCTATACATTTATAATGTAATGGTAGGAAAGTCAAAACTTTGCATTGAATATTTTTATTAAAGAATGCTTGGTGTTGTGATCTACAATCGATACCGAAGTTAAAATATTTTTTTAGCATTTTTGTCTGTATTTAAGTCTGGGATAAACTCAAAAAGTACTGCATGGATATACTTTAAATTTGGCATGAATATTATTAAGAATTCGGGTCAACATATAGGCTACATATTATCACGCTATCACCTACGGGGAACGAGCAGTGAACCTTTATTTCTTCAATTAGGCGGCGGGGGCGGCCGCTAGTAGTCTATGAGCGGATATCCCACGACTTACCATAGAAACCTAACATTATTCGGGATAAAAAGTAACATTTGTCTCAATCCAAGTAATACTATACGTTTGCCAAATTTCAACAATCTGTTGAGACGTTTTGGCTTAATTAAATTGCAAATATTTTATTAAATAGCTTCCATAGTACAAGCTTAGTTTGGGGATAGATGATTGAATATGAATGAATGTAATTATACTTTATTTAAATTGATGACGACCTCCGTGGCCGAGTTGTATGTAAGCCGGGTTTCAAGGTATCGCCAACTCGAGAGGTCTCGAGGTTCGAACCCGATGGGGGCAGGTGTTTGTGTGTTGAATACGAGCATTTTTACTCCAGTCATGGATGTTTAATATGTATTTTCTATATAAATATACTTGTATTGTTATCAGTATATTTATTCTTATCCGTTACACTAGCATCCCATAACACAAGCCCATAATAGTGTTTACTTTGGGGCTAGGCTAGGCTAATAGGGTATTTTCAAAATTTTTGACAACTGCTTATATTTAAAGATTGGGACAAACGATTAACAGAAAAATAAAAATAAATCGTTAGTTCTCTTAATTAGACCAATTAAAGTTGAATTTATTTTTAATGGTTTTGAATTTACCGCCAAAACGCTCGGTTAGATAGTGGGTGGGTGGTGGGCTTTAATAGTTATTTAAAGAACAATAACGGCATCCGAACAAATAGAATTCCTTTTAATTGATGAGGTGAATAAAAAATCTTATTTATTCGCACTATTTTTAATATTTCGTCGAATTATGAGGTCAGTGCACTGGCCAATATATTTCGGAACAATTCACCAGTATAACGTCGATTCATGACGTCGTCATTAGCACTGGCCAGTATACTGGTATATATTACGGAATACACCCAACGTCTACTGCGTGACGTCACCTTTGTGTATGCTATGTAATCATCTGAAGGTCAAATTATTAACTTTTTTTACGTTCGGGATAAATTTATATAATACTTTGCAAAGGACATTGTTCTGCGTCAATACATAGCCTAAGAACCAACAATCATGAAATATTATTTTCTATGTTCGAAATCGCAAGTATATGACTGTAAAAACAAAGATTATTGACGGACACTTCTGAGAACTTAAATTATTAGGAAAACTATTTTTTTTTTGATGTTATGTTTAATATTTAATGAAGCATAGGTCAACCTACCTATGAACTTAGTATGAACTCCGTATGAAGTGAATTAATATTACAACTAATTCATTTTATTCGGTGCGATTTTAAAGAAAACTATTAGGAAAACTTGGTTAGGTAGGAATCATGAATAAAATAAAACTGTATTTATTGACTATTTTTCACATAATTGCATCAAATTATATATTGTATTTATTTGTATATCACATGTATATTGTGTAAAGATGCAGCGCGAATGTATATCAGGTGCTCTTGAATAATTTGGCAGTGTGATCCTCTCAGAATGTTGTTCATGCACAGGTTCACCAGCACTTGGTAATAAGGTCTCTGCTCTTTGGTAACATCGATGGCATATAAGATAGCCGAAATGGTTAAATTAAAGGAAAAACAATCGCAAATAAATACACACAACAGTGAAGTGAAGTGCCGGCATTAGGAAGAAAGAGTGTTTTGTTTGCAGCGCTGTCATAGATTAAACACATAAAATGGTATTTATTGTCTCAGATTATTTTTTAACTTTTTAATTTAGCTTACTTAACTGGAAGTGTCCGTCACAATCTAAATATTGATAATTATCGCAAAAAATATACTAAGAATTATCATAAATGCCAAATTGGTGTTGGTTCTTAGGCCAATTTTAACATTGTCCTTTCTTCGCTACTAATCCTGATTTCTGTGCTACAGGGTCAAAAATTTTGTGTAAGTATTATACTATAAAGGAGAATGCCCATATTTGGTACAGCTTTGTCTCATGCCTCAAGATAAAATTATTATGATAATTATTTTCTTTAATTTATACGTACGATGGTCTATCAGAATGGCTATTTTGAACAGGCAATAATTTTTAAAATAATATTAGTCATAGTACTGTTTATATTTTGAGCCGGATATCTGACGTTTGTTTATTTATCGTAAAAATAGTGATGCCATAGTACCCTATTAGTTATACATTATAATCGATTGTTGTTTTTGTTACCGATGAGTGGGCCATCAAAAAGCAAATAAATCACGTGTTACTAATTATTGTTTAATAGTGATTTTACGTTTTTATTGTCTTAACTGTTGCGATGACAACTCGTCATTTATCTATTTCGTCTCTATGCTTAATATGTTATAGTCAATAACCCGTCGCTTGGCTTAACTAGATACTGGTGTCGATTCTGGCGTGATTCTCTAAACTTAAAACTAAATTTAACATCAGTCTCTCCTTTTCATTCTGTATAGAGAACGACGGTGATGCACTGTTGTCAAATTTAAGTTTAGCTTTAGAGAATCATGCCAGAATCGACATCACTTTCCTATCACGTATCTTGCTGTATGTAGTGTCTACTTACTGGATGTAACGTGTTAAGCATAGATATGAAAATGATAAAATGTCGAGCATGTAGGTAGTCGGACAAAAAGAGGCACGTGCTTACCCAGCGCTTTGTCTTGCCTACTTAGTCAAAAGGCCTTATTCTTGAACGCAAAATACAATGATTGTATATTGGCTTGTGCCGCGTCCTGTTCTACTTCCATAAAAGTATCTAAGTTAGAGAGGGACGGACGACAATGACGACAAAGAGAGGCTAGTTAATCTGTGCAGGCATGCTGTTAGGTAAGACGGAACGTGTAGCCGTGGTATTCGAATCTAAGTTTAAAAATTCGACACGTATTAATAATGTTAAAGAAGGTTAATTCCGCGGAAATCTTTAATCGTTGTTTTTATAGAGGGCGCTCACCTAACTGTCGACTTCATCATTAACTAAGTAGTAACTAGTAATTATATTTATTTCTATGCTGTTTATTAATTAATTGAATCTGGATTTATTTGTATCTGACTTGATCTATTCATTGCGTAAATCAATTATATACAAAAACATTTTTTTTTGTATTCCATCGATTATTCGTATATTCAATTTCAGATCATCATCACCCTACCCTATTGCAAATGATTGGAGTATTGTCAATTGTTGTTACTCCTATTTTTGTGTTGATTGAGTTTTTTACAGAAATTGTGAAGTGATAATGATTGCGTGTGAACGTATCGGACGTTTTTTTTTCTGAGTTGTTAAGACAGGCAAGACGTTTTCAGGAAAAAAACAGTGCATTCACGACAGGACGTTTATTTACCGTATGTGTGTTTGTAGTGTTCTCTACTCACGCATTCTACTTCAAATGAGGAATCGATGACGATTAGACTATTTGACTGGCTAAACCAGTGTATTGTAAAACTGTATTTCCAGGGCCCAAGAGGTGATACTTAATTTTTTTTTGTAGAAGAACAGTTTAGCCCTCAACATATTACAGCCATGGATAAATCCTACTCAGGTGAGCTAATATTGTTTGTCTAATGTCATGTGCAACTAACTGTATGAAATATATATTAACTGTTTTGTTTGACTTCTTAAAAAAGTAATAACAGTTCTAGATACTTAGGTTAGGAATCATTTACTATCACAATCTTATGACAAAACTATTATTACTGTGTATTATTATTGCATATCATACTTAATTACAAATCCAGAACTAAGATGTTTGTAGTAGTCATGGTATCATTTAGATTTTATTTTATTTGTTTTGTTATCACTAGACAGGTAATAGATGATGAGAGAATACAGAAATTCCTTAAAATAAACAGAAAGGAATTTTCCATATTAATTATTCATTTTTTATTAATATTATCTGTTTAGATCTCAAGAATGGAACATGTATGTGCTGCACGTTGGAGATTCAACAAGTACAAAGGCAACAACAACATGACTCAAATCGCCTTACTCTTGGAGATACTACATTAAGTGGCAATCATTCTATACCTGTGCCACCTCCTCTGCCACAACCAAGACTAGAAGCAGTTCAACAAGTGACTCTAAAAATTGTATCATCATCATCATACATGCTGCTAACTCTCCTGTGTATTTGCAAATTGTTTTGAGCCTGAATGTCTACTTATTTCATCTACCATCTTATTGTATAATAATAAATTGTGCATACCAGCTGGTGCATGTGTTTGTCATCACTATTTGAATTATGGTTCATGGAATGAATTAACACCTTAATTAAGAGATTTTACTGGCACACAGTTTTATAATATAATGATTATGATACAGCGATCAGCCAATTACTAATTAGATTTTTCTAATGTTTCAATTATGTCTTGACTTGGTATGAACTCTGAACAGTTTTATAATTTGCTCAACTGTATACCAATCTAGCAGAACAAGTGCCAAACGCTTCTATAGCCTTTTGTATTTATTTAGTTAAATTAAGAACTGCTGATAACAACGAAAAATTGGCCACTCTTTTCAATAATCCAGGAGCTACATTAGAACGTTGTAAGACAAAAGCTACAAATTGTTTGAATTTGTTTGTTTGTAGATGATATTCCTCTTGTTTTAGGTCTAAATAATTATTAAGAGGTAGGATTAATTCCTGACACTTAAGCAGCGTACATATAACTCATATTTACTTATCAGTAGAGATGCTGCTTTGGCAGACACATTAGAGGCTATAAAAGGTTATTATTGCAGCTGTCTCGTTGGTAAACAACCTGTGGGCTGTTAGGACCACATAATAACTGTAGTGCAGTTTTTAAATTGGGGTCGTTACAATGATGTTACTGCTCTGGCGCCTTATTTAGATTATTTTTTCTATGAAGATTATGTTGATTTGAAATATACTGGTAATTCAAATATAATGTGTACAATTAATATATGTAATCTAATAAAAAGTGTCCTATATTAATGTTTTTATTTACCTATACGTAAATCTGCCTTCACTGAAATCTGTGTTGTCATGAAAATCTATGCAGTAGGTTGGAAAAACAGTGAAAGACTCAAGTTGATCAAAAATAACAGAATAAAAAAGTACCCAAAATAGCTGTAAACCAACTTTAAATAGGAGTTTTTATTTTCAAAATTCCAATTTGTCATACTAATTTAAATATTAAACGATCATTTAACATTTGTTTGGTATTGATGCAACCATTGTACGGCGGTCCATACATCCATGAGCATTCTCCTTTATCCCGAACGTAAAAAAGTTCATAATTTGACCTTCAGATGATTACAATGACATAGCATACACAAAGTTGACGTCACACAGAAGACGTCATCGAACCGAGCGTTTTGGCGGTAAATTCAAAAACATTAAAAACAATTGAAGAAATGGAGAAAAAAATACATTAATTTATTTATTTTTATTTTTCAGTTAAATCGTTTGTCCCAATCTTTAAATATAAGCAATTTTCAAAAAAATTTATAAAAACCCTATTGGTGTGTTGGAAATAAAAAAAAAGAAACTTATTCAAAGCTCTTTTGAATCTTTTAATATTTAATGTGATTGTCCAACATTTATTATTATGAACAGAAATAATGTTTTTACTATCGTTTGTCAGGCGATCCGCGCGGGCACAGTATGGGTGAACGACTATCACGTGTTCGGTAACCAAGTGCCATTCGGCGGGTTCAAGCAATCCGGTATCGGCCGCGAGAACGGACCATACTCTCTCAACAACTACACTGAAGTTAAGGCGATCGTCATCAAACTCACTGACAAATTCTCGTAGACGGAGACTCTGACTTGTTTTGTGATTAGATTATACTTTATTCAAATTGTCTTATTGAAATCTCTTTTGAATGGTCCAATTTCAGAGGGTCAATTGCCTAACGGGATTGCTATGGCTATCGCTTACCTATTTGTTTTGTTATTTCTGACCACCGAAGGTTTTCAAATACCTCACGCTCATTTTCTTTAATATTGTTATTACCAATGCAACAGAAAAAGACGAACGCGAGGCATTTGCAAAACCTTCGGCGGTCAGTAATAAGAAAATGAAATCGTAAGAGATAGCGATAGCCACAGCAATCCCGTTAGGTGATTGACCCCCAGGACTTATTTTAGCTGATGAGAAGAATGGGCGCATGAAACTCGTCAGCATATTTCAACAGTAGCAACACTTACAAAAAATCATCATTGCGGTATGTAACAAGGCCTAATGCTTCCATAATTAAAAATGTCACAAATTATGGCAAACATCGTGCGGCATAGCAACACATTGCTTAATATGGCAAATTGTCGCAACTTGTATACGAACATGATGGATTACATGGCACATATTTGATGCGACAAAACATTTGTTTTTGAAAATGTAAAGGGAGTGACGTTACTCAAATTACATTTGTATTTTAATGAAATAATAAGTTATTATTAGCCCAAGCCTATTCTTCGTTTATTGAATAAAGGGTTTAAGGTGCAATCGACTAGCTAAACAGGCTAGAAACACTTTCTGTACATTTTAACGTTAGCTTTTAAAGCTTGGAAATCAAACTTTATTACATTTAACCATGGCATTTAGTTAGCAAATGCTAGAATTTGTGGAAACCTCCAGATAATGTATCAGTGCTCGTACAGTTTTGATAGCAACCATTTTATAATCTCATTCTGCCATAGAGCAGCCAATATAATTATTTTTGCATTTGCTCTGGTTTAATCATTGTTTAAGACTGATGAAGGTTAAAATTTTTGAAAAAGGTTTACTACCCATTACTTGTTTGGAAAAAGGATGGTAAAGTAGGGCCAACGAGAAGCGATAAAAAAGTTCATTCACCTAAGATAAGACTATGGGCTGACAGTCTTATACTATCTCTTTCATCTTCTAAATTACGCGTCACGTTGTTCTTAACCGATTTAAATCAAATTTGCACACCGTGTGCAGTTTTTTGTAACTTGAAAAATAGGATAGCTTACATTTCAATTAATAGTCGCCATATTATTTTAGTGCAAATTATTTTTGGGCGGTAAGAAGTTCGCCGAGTCAGCTAGTCTCCATATATCACAATAGGTCTCATTCGGTCATGTCACTAATCGCAGAGGTGCATAGGTCGTTAACATTCAGGGCCAATTTATAGTTAAATATAATTACATACTTTCATTTCGGTTCGTGCCTTTCCGATATTACTCGTGGTAATTTGTAACAATTTCTGTTTTTTGAAATATACTCAGCAGAATCGCCATCTGAATATATTTTTTTCATTGTTATCCTATTTTAAGAATGGATCCAGTGATTTTATCTTTTTAAAGTATTAATTATAGCAATACACAGTTCGCTTCTTAAGTATGTTCATATTAAAATGATAAAAGTCCTATATTAATTTTCATTTATAAAATTTAAGTTTAAAAAATGTTACCAACCCTCTGCTTTGGCCAATGACCTTTAATCGACTCTGTTTAAATTTTTTATCACTTCTCGTTAGACATATTTTAGCCTTTGAGAGACATTGTAGAGTTCAAAAGTTGTTATGTAACTAGATTTATGCTAAAGTGTATGTTCACTATAAAGTCGTTTTTCCTGTAATTGAAAAGTCTTCCCATTCATGTTATAAAGTAAATGAATAGTAATTAAGTTACTTGTTAATTTCTGCCACTTTTATGATGCCATTATACACGTCTTATAAATAATAATAAATATTTTAATATGGATATATTTTCAATAAAAACAGTTTTTTTAATATAATGTTTTATTTTTAACGATTTAAGTCTAAAATCAACTATGGGCTAAGTAACCATAAGTTTTAAAAGGAAATTTGTTTTTAATATATCTTATATAAAGCTTAAAAAACTTTAGTATTCAAAGAATCTAATTCAAAATAGATCAGACACATTTCGGCAACAATAACCTTTGGTGCGCTTAAATAATTTTATAAATCGCAAGAAACATAAATATAAAAAATAAGATCAACGTGAGGTAATAAAAGATTAAAAAAAATGTGCAAGAGAACCTTTATAAGGTGTCATTGACAACTATTCTAGTGATCACAACAGTGGAATGTTTGGTGCTTCTTAATCTACAATCACATAGCCTTGCGTACTTCTATATACTAGTGGACAAAAGTTCTATAAACATGATGATCAACACCTATCACATATCTTTGGGCGATATAAATGCGGGCATATTCGGACTGTACTAAATCAAATCTAGGACAAAATAACTAAATACTGTATATAGGTAATTGGATTTGATACAGCAAATGAAATGGAATTATTGCATAATAGTCCAGTCAGTATTGTCGCGAAATCCGAGCGAAGCGAAGTTAAAGTTAGTTAAAAAAGTTATCTAAAGTTATCTAAGTTATCTTAATGTAATGTAATGTAATAATCTTTACATTAAGATAACTTAGATAACTTTAGATAACTTTTTTAACTAACTTTAACTTTTTAAGTATTGAATCTTTGACTTCGATTATTGGCTCCCCTATTGAAAATAGGGGCAAGAGGGTGGAATAATGTTTTGTAGATTTCAAAAAGATCTACAATTTTCATTTGAAGTTTTTTTCCGTATCTCGTATACTTTTTGAGATAATTGGAAAAATAGATTATTAAGGGTGGTTTTCACCCTTGCCCGGGGTTGGAAACATTTTTTTCTCTATGTAAAGTGTTCTTTACTATCTTAAGAAACTTTTTAGCATAGTTCCAGCTGTTTGAGGAAAAACGGATTTCGCGACAATACTGACTGGACTATAATGTTAACTAAAGATACAGTAGGGCGTTGTTTGTTAAAGGTCATAAATAGCATTTGCAACGTATATGATAGTCAATAACTTTGTACTTTTCTAGTTGAATCATGCAATTAAGTATTTGAAGCATTAATTAGTAAATTTACTGATATTAAATAAAAATAAATAAACTATGTTCTAATATTTACTTCCACTAATGCCCGAATCGAAAAAATATTATGTGTACTGTTAATAAGTATTATGCATTGTACTTAAAGTTGTAAATTAGGTCATCATGATCAGATTGTTAGTTTCATATTATCATAATTATATCACTTAAAAAAGACATTGTTTTCAGTCAACGATAAGTACAGTTTGGACGGAATCAACCAGCGCGTCACAAATTGTAGGTGATTATTATTCGATTTGTCATACTATCAATCCTGTTGATAAAACAAAACATTGTCTATGAATCTCGCACGTAACAGGGTTGCCAGACCTTGTCTTAATAATTTCAACCGTGCTACATGTGTCATGGAATTTTTATTCTGGCAGTACAGAAAAGCGATCACTCCTTGTCGGTCATTTCCTCATTAATAATCGATAAGTTCTCTTCGGATATCTTTTCGAGGCAGCCGCACGTTATGGAAGACAACGTGCTGTTGGCGAGATCTTCTTCAATCTTCTTCTCCAGAAGCTCAAAGTCGTCATTGTCCGTTTGGCACTTGATGCACTCCTCTGAAGACGAATCTTGGTAGCACATCACATTCTCGATGTTAACTTCCACTTCATCGTTCCTGTCCTCTTTCATCGAAAGCGAGGGACTGCTGTTGCTCAACAGGCGGGTCTCTTTCGTTATATTCTGAACGAACACTTCAGACTTGGGTCGCACTTTCAGATTCTCCTTCGGTTTGGCCGTTCTAGCCGTGACTGGAGTCTGGGGTCTCTTGTCTTTGGGGAATACGCGTTGTATCCTCTCTTCTACTAGAGAAATGCTTCTTTTGTAGACGACAGTGTCCTGAGGGTCTCGGCTTCCATCAATGGCATCGCGGGATTCAGTATCGGAGGAATCGCAGCGGAAGTAAATCGTGTCGCAGCCGTTCTCCTGCTTCACTTTAATGAGGCAACATTCGTCCTCCTTTTCGCAAAGGATTTCGTGGAGCGATCCGTGCAATGGTATAAGCTTCACTCGTCCACCGAAGTTCTCTTGCATCTGGGTCGATAGATCGTCGTCTATGTACAAATCTTCTGTGCTTCTAGCTTCCTGCAATATGATCACGTCAAACCCCATTTTTAATGATATCTTCTCAAATGGCTGTTCGTATACTAGACAGCAGTATATTTTTATGGCGCGATTACACTTGGCCGTTTGCCCGAATATGAGTGCCAATGGCGTATTCGGATAGTTTTCGATTTGGTTACCCGACACCGTATTCCAGCCGGTATTCTAGTGCAAATATTGCTTTGGGTGCCCAAATTCGAGTTATGTCTTTCGTGCTTCCAAATACGGGCTAACGACCAAGTGTAATTGAGCCGTTAAGCTTCTAGAACAAATAGGAGACTGCTGTGAATTCGACAAATAGCAATTTCGACTATCCATATGAAGTGCTGACATTAAAAATATTGATTGAAGACAAAGTATCGAAAATAAGTATGATGAATAGAAAAAACAACTGCAACCTATATTTTTGCTACAGACCGTTGACAGACTTATAAATAACTAGAGATCGGATAATCGGATGCATATTTACCTAAAGTAATTATTTCGATGACAAATTATGGAAGCGATTACGATATTTTTATTAAAAATAAAATCTCGTGACTCCGAGATAACATGGATATCAACAATCGGATGTATATTGAAATAAAGTTTAATTTTCCATTCGTATATGTAGAAAGTAGAAATGGTGGTGTGCTTTATTAGGAACATAAATGAATATAAATTTATTTATTCATTAAGGACATCTTACACAATATTTTTATGTTAAACGCACAATGTAACCGTCATTTGTGTCAAAATGGGTTTATTAGATCTCATGGAGTACCTATATACTTAAATTGGAGTTTCCTAGAATCACGGGATTTGTTTGATAAAAAGTACTTTCCATAAAAAAAGCAGACATTTCAACTATAGGTTAATATACATCCGATTATCCGATCTCTATTTATAACACTAAATGGGCCGATAGATGTGTATATGAATATATAATTAATTACAGTAGAACGCTGATTAACCGAATCGACAATTATCCGAATCGGTCCTAAGCGTAAAATAAAACATTAAAACCAAGTTATTTTTGTTTTGTTTTGTTGTAACAAGTTGGAACTCGCTGGAATCCAGATATATTTCAACTGTTATGGTTGAAAGCTAGAGGCAAGACACTACGTGTTTTGCGTCGCGCGGTTTAATTTGCTACTATGTAACTCTATTATTGTATTTATTAGTATTGTAGAAGTGTGTTTGTTACACTTAATAAGGTTTATTTTATGTGTGACAGTTTTTCTTTATTACTGTTAAAGTATCGATAATAATAAACCAGGATACAAATTCTAACAAATATATATCACCTGTAAAGCGCTGAAAGCCTGGCATCGTTTTAGCGAGTTCGTATTGGTGTCTTCTGAAGTAGCGGCCGCGGTCTGCGGAGCTGAAGCGGGAGCGGGAGCGGTTTCAGAAGCGGCGCGACCCGACACTGTTACGCTAACGCAACCGTCCAATACCTGATTGTGGAAACAGATTCTTCATACTGTATCACTGATGCCAGATTAGGGGGGATTCTCCCCAAATTTGGGGGTTTATAAAGCGATGGGGGGAAGAAAGGGTTTGGGGGAAACGGGGGCTTTTTTTTTTAATTACATATTTTATATAAAAGTAAAACAACATCATAAACTTTAAATCTGTAAAGTCTTGCTTACTAGGCTAATTGGTGTTTTAAAAAAAATATGTACCTGCAAGCTATTTTCCCCAGACCGGCTGAACGTGATCTGCAGAAGAGGTTTGTTGTTCCCATTGATCTTCACGCGAGAGAAGGACCTGATCTCTCTCTTGTTGGGGTCCTCTTCGTCCTCGCTTCTCAGATTGTCGACAATGTTGGCGACACCCTACAAAATTAAAACTTAGAAGTGGTTCAACCAGTATCATCATCATTAGCTTATTAATGCTCTCACTGCTGGGGCACAGGCCTTCCTGTGGATGGAATAGGGAGCATGGACCTTGAGCTTGACCCACCATGCGGGCCCAATGCCGATTGGTGGGTGCTAACGACTAATTGAACTAATGGCTTAACGTGCCTTCCGAAGCACGGAGGTCCAGGAGATAGTAAATTTTTGGTCACCCGTCGAATAGCCGACCACTGCGAAAGTTGCTTAACTTCAATGAGTGCAAACGAACGCACGCACCAATTGCGCCATCGAACTCCTCAACCAGTAAACGTTGTTGCAAATGTCTTCTAAAAGTTGAGTGTGCTATCAGACTTATAGCATGGTCCTTTTCAAACCGAACTTGCAAATGTATCGCAAAAGGCAGCGGCATAACTGATGTCCATGGTCGACGGTGCCTCTTTATCAGTACCCCAAGCACGAACTTAGGCAGATCCATATTCGTATCGCAAACGTCAAAGTTTCAATGGAAACTTAGCAGCGTCCCTACCGGACATAAGGACAAACATAAACCCCAAAACCCCGTGTTTTTTTTTATCTGTGTTGCTGTTGCGGAACCCACGGGCCACAGTGGAAATGAAGAAAATTGCTTGTTTTTATTACTTATCTACATTAAATACTGTAGTCAAGTACATAAATAAATACCTTGTTCAAGATTTCCTCGCTCCGATGGACGCTGGAGTCATCAGACAGCTCGTGCAGCAGATGCGTAAACTCTTTCCGTATGAGTTCCCTTATGAACTCCTCTATGCTTTTTGTTTCTGTCGCCTGGTCTACTTTCGATGGGACTGTGGGCGTCATCGAATCAGTTTCGGCCCTGTTACAAAATTATGTGAAATACTATATGAGGTTTATAAGCTATAAAAATACTGAATTTGTGGGTGTGAAGCATTAGACGATTTGTAGTTTATAGGAATAATCATGTCGGCGCTCCAATTGTCATGCAAATTGGAATAATATTAGTTAGTGTTATTATTTATGTGTGTTATTATAGTTGCGGCACGATATGATGGCCGTTTGGCACATTGCAGTAGTGACGCGAAAATTCAACCTGTTGTCGAAAAAATCCTATATTCTTTATTAATAAGAAATTTTCTACCAATATTGCAAAAAGTTGTTGATTATAAAGATTGAATATAACGAAACGTATATTTTTAGTCACGCTCAGCGATCCTATATGTAACGATCTTATTAATTTCAAGTTTTTACATCTGAATTTCGAACAACACAAATGGCGAGTTTTGTGACGCAAGTATAAGTACACTATAATTCTATTAAAATTAAAATTCTACATCCTAAAATTACCGATTCGATAAAGATTATGACTAAATGCGCGTCTCTAATGACAATGATGAACAATAATTATTTCTTTCGAGTGTAGAACTAATTTTGAATTTAGAATATGAAATTTCATGCACGCACAAATGTCAAAACGGCCATGATATCGTGCCGCTGCTACTGAGCAAATTGCCCACTAAACGCGGCCACTAGTGGCTCAGTCAAGCCACTAGACGCAGCCACCGATCGCCGCCGCTAGTAGCTTAGTGGCGGCCACTCGAACGCATAATTTGCGCCGACACTAGGTATATTTATAAGTTATTACATGTATAAAAAAAATTCGGCCGCAGCTTGTGGACGGGTTCAGTGGCCGCCACTAGTCTGTCTAATGAATCGTGACCCTCCAAAAGAGCGGTTAAAAATTCTGTAGCTGTAAATACCGCCTTTATAGAGACAATATAGACTTTAATACTTTAACTTAACAGACTGAGGAAACATACTTTACAAACTATAAAAAAAGGAGAGCTCTGAGATTTGTAGACAGATTTTGAGGATTGATGTTGATGATTTGGTTTTCCAATAACTATTCGGTTACTAAGCAGTTTAGCCTAATTTATAGGAAAATACCTATCATTGATGATATCTGTTCTAAATATTTCTTCTCGTGTGTCAACATCTCGTCTGTTACACTAGATTTTAAAGTATCAATTATGTGTTTTATATTTTCTTTTATTTACACATTATCCACATTATCTAAAAGAAACCAACAGCCATATTTATGATAATAGTAAAAGAAGTAGGTACCCAAATAACCGAAAGTATCAAAAGCCACCAACCCAGCCAACAACTCACCAATTCGTAACGTCAAAGAGACAGTTCTAATGTTGACATATTCAAAACTTTTGAAAACAGGAGGGTCACGTCACGATTTAACAGACTCTAGTGGCAAATGTGCGCTTACTGTTATAGATCTTAAAAAACCAGTTACCCTCCGTATTCTTGTTTCGTACGCCTGGGCAGATAATCGCGGTCGCGGTCGAAGTAGACCCCGTTCGCGACAGCGTCTCGCGCCTTGCAGAACTGCTCCCACTGCCCTCCTATACAACGGTGTGTTTCACAAGGATTACTCTAAAATCTATGTACATAGAACATATATAGTAATATATTCATGTCGGATTTATAAACCTAAAGAAAATTGTAACTAGAATACAAGTGGAACATTCAGTAGAAAAATAGATTTTCTTGTTCCTCTGAGGTTTACCTAGCCAGCACACGCAATGAATTAACGAATTGCATTTTCATTCAAGCTTAGTATTTTTTGCATTAATTTTGTGTGTCATCGTAAAGGAAATACACTTACCACCACTTCAAAGACATTTTTCATTAGAAACGCTTATTGCCGGAGTCAGTTCAAGAACTTAATGCGGTTCACTTGTCTAGGCAATAATAGGAACCTACTGTCCAAATTTCATCATTCTAGGTCCAGCCATACTCTAGGTTTCACCTGTTCAGCTATAGACCATAGTATGCAAATTTACATAGGTTCTTTATCAAATTAATTCATACTATGTCACATAATTCAATAAAAATATTTAACACGTCACAGAATACGTAGTCAAAAAATCAAAAAACCCGACTGCTTAATTATACTTCAAGTAAAAACTGAAAAGAAAAAAACAAGTCCAGTAGTCTATAATTCTGTTAATAAGGAACAAAGCTACTTTAACAGTCGGGACCCACTGTTGAAAAATATTATGTATTCTTGAATATCTAATGGGTCCCGACTGTTAAAGTAGCGTTGTTCCTTATTAACAGAATTATAGACTACTGGACTTGTTTTTTTCTTTTCAGTTTTTACTTGAAGTATAATTAAGCAGTCGGGTTTTTTGATTTTTTAAATTTACCTTTTTTATTTCACACTTTTTGTTAGTATTTTAAGACGGTATATACCGTAGTCTTGTTACTTCAGTAAGGGAATTAATATCGCGGGAATTATTAAGTACATTACGTCGGTCTAAAAGATTGATTTATTAAGACATATAAAGACTTTACCAGCGGGGTCAAGGCTACAGATGGGCCTCAATTTTCGCAAAAATGTGTGAAGTTAAATCAAGTCGTTACATAAATATCTATAATGTATGTAAATTTTATAGTAAACTAGCACTTACTTTTATTCGTTGACTATTTAAAATTGGCAGTGGCTGCATTGTCATGTCAATGCCGGACGTCTAAGATTGTGATACATACACAAATACATTTTAAATAAAACTAGTTTTTACGGGTTAATGCACGAAACTTTATTTATTTATTGACGTTTCGCAGCCTTTTCAGGTCTGCATCGTCAGAATAACGATTTTTTATTTAAAATTGTCGAGCTACCTTCGAAAGACTTATATTGAGCGTTCGGTTATTTCATTGGAAGATTTTTAAAATTTTATTGTCTATGTATGAATTTATTATTTAATTTACTTAATAAAGTATTTTATTTAAAATTCTTGTTTGTAATTTTGAGTTTATTTATTTGACCCTAACTACCGTAAACTACCACCGGTTCCAAAATTGGGAGACCTTCCTGAGAAGAACCGGCGAAACAAACTCAAGAGAGGCTTTCTATCTCCTTCTTATGTTAAATTATGCAAACAAAAAGAACTAATAGTATCTGATGGTCTTGCAGTGTGTGCTCGGGGTTGGGATTTTATCTCCTGTATAATAGGTTCCCAAGCTGGTGGTATATACCAACCATCTTCCCTATTGAAATTTGGATATTTTTTAATCTCAATAGATAGCCTCGCGCATCATTCGAGGAACGAACCGCCGCTCAGCTGCAAGGATCTGTGGTCTATCAAATCTAATGTAGTGGTTTGGTCCCCCTAATGCATGTTCACACACTGCAGATTTATTTTCGCGCCTATGTTTCATATCTGCGATATGTTCTTTTACCCGAGTCCCTATACTCCTATTAATATATATAAACTAGTTTTATTTAATGAGTGATGTGCGTGAAAACCTAAGAAACAAATACATTTTGTCCGAGTGACATAGGCTATATTTTATCACGATAAATAAATTTCGCCCGTACAATGCCCGGGTGGATCACTAGTAAGTATAATATAATATTATAGATGCGAAAGTGACTTTGTTTGTTGCGCTTCCGTGCCCTAATAGCTAAATCGAATATAATGAATTCCCATATAGAAGTAAATGGGAACTTGGTTCTTAGCTACAACATCGCAATACTTATAGGCGTAGGGTGATGAAAGGGGTGATTTGCCTATAAAAATCTACATTATTTACTTTGAATTTTGCAAAATTATTACAAAACCAATATTATCGCGAGCTGATTAATAAATACAGGGATTCCAATAAGTATGTACTTACTAGCGAAAATTGGGTTATTTGTCATTATATTATGTAAACCTTTTTTGTAACCTTAAGTAATATCGTTAAAAAAATGAAAAACAGTAAAATTCTGAATTTTTCATTAAAATTCCATAATCATAGATACCTATTATGATACTATATTTTTCATCATTTAATAAGAAGGAACTGTATCACAGTTTTAATGTTAGTACTTCGTATATGATCAGATACTGCGAATACCCCATTTTTTTTTCTTTTACATAGTACACCGCGCTATCACTTTGTCATCGTTGTAACTTTTTAAATATTTGTCGAAATGACATAGTGTAAAAAGCAAAGTTTATCGTCTTTAAATACCAAAAGCGATTAAAGTATTTGTTTTGATAAAAAAAAATTATTTGTTAATACAAAATGTGCATTTTGGAAATACATATCAAATAATATTTTAGTTTTGATTCACTATTTTAGCGGTAATGACTTACACATTAAAAATAGATATATGGTGTCACGGACTTTTTTTTTAGAACTATTTAAGAGATACATTTTCACTCTACATTACATTCATGTAACTTTTATTGTTTTTGCAGTGCAGGCCAAAATGGCTCGCAGATGGGACTTTTTTTTCCGTATTATGTGACACTTATTGCTATATATTGGTCAATTCACTCAATAACTACATAAATTATTATATATATGTAATTATTATATTTGAGCTATATTACTGTTAAGTTTCATTAAAATCCATTCAGTATTTTTTAGGTGAAAGAGTAACAAAGATCCATACAAACGTAAGATTGAAATTAAAAGCGTAAGTGGTTAATATACAACTTTAAAGCGTTGTAGATCCTAAACAATCATATAAAATGAAAAATGGTGTTAGGAACCTAAATATGATTTTTGATTACCTAGACAGTGATACCCCACTCGAAATATTTTGTCAACTTTTTTTTTTTACTTCGTCACAATATGGCGCCTAATGTTGCCCATATGGAATTTTGATTACTATCATATCTTTAGTAGCACTCCCATGATTGAGACGAATCGATTGATGTATGAATCATCAAAATCGGTCCAGGCGTTTGGTCTCTAGTGTGCCACAAAGGAACAAACATACATATATAGACTGTTAAACACATAACCCTGTCTGCGCGTCGCGCTTCGCGCTCTTGCATTGCGCAGCCGGGTAAAAAATAGATTAATATCAGGTCACATTTAAAATGTGGATCAAAAATACAATTAAATCAGTATATATCAGTATTTCTTGTTAACGATACGATTTCTACCCGGGCGGCGGCGCCCGCCTACGCTCGTTCACGAGCACGGTCTGTATAATACGTTTTTACCGACCTCAAACCGTCGCCAGCGTCGGTGTAGTTAACAAACCTCCATATTGCCCCATACATGGAAGTTAAAGAGAAGGAGAACGATCGCTGCAGAAAATAGTGTCCCAGATATATGGTCAAAATAAGTGAGGCGCTGCGATCGTCAGTAAAAGCGGGCTGTTGTGCGCTAATTTGAAATGACCAATGCCGCGAAGAAAATTTGTACATTATTAACTAACTTTATCTACTTGTACTCATATACAGCTAACTTCACAGATACTACTTACCAACGGCAGCACGGCTGGTGGCTGAAAAATTAACTATAAATTCTACAAAATTTCAGGGACAGGCGGGCTTATGCTTTAGCACGTTAGCGATCGTTCTCCTTCTCTCTAACCTCCGTGGTCCCATATCTGACTGACAACCGGACGTAGACACTGTTTACAACCGTGCCTAGACCCAGGTAAAAATCGTCTCGTTAACAAGCGCCCTTACAGTTTTTACTTCACACAAAATCAAGTATAAGTAATATTATCAGGAAATCCTTCTATTTACCGTAGACGGCTAATATGCCTTTTTTTAAACAAAAAAAAAACAATCGCGTAACAGATAAACAAATAGAAAATATGCTATCGAATAAGGAAACTCCCCCTTTTAGAAAACTAAAATTAAGCTGCATAAACATTAAAACAAAATGTTCACTTATCGCATACTTTATTCTAATTAGTAGACTCAACACAAATTGTTAGTTTTTAACACAAAGCAAGCTCCTACCAAAACCATAAACCAAGTAAAATAAAATATACAGTCTCAATTTTCCATTAATAACTCTATTCTTATTATAAGCTATTTCCGTAATGAAGAAAAATGTAAACGATATCATTGAATAACATAATTTAAATAACATATTGTTTAATAAAAAAATGCAAATTATTGAAATATTATCAAAACAAAAAGCCAACATCACGCGGTGTTCCCAGGCGGTCACCCATCCAAGTACTGACCGCGCCCGACGTTGCTTAACTTCGGTGATCGGACGAGAACCGGTGTATTCAACGTGGTATGGACGTTGGCAACAGAATAACTATAATAATGAAACATTTCCTTCTACATGGAGATCATAATATGTAGTTACAAAAAAACAGGAAGTCAATTAGCTTTTAGGCTTGACAAAAGTTTATCTGTCACTTTCTTTGAGATAACAATAGAACGAGACAACACGCTATTTATGGAAGGGCACATAAGTACTTCAATGATACTCAGGCATTTGTATTTTTAGGTGATCATTTACTATTATTTTAGATCATTTAAATATTTTCCTTAAAAACCATTGACTTAATTTGTCGTTTCAGAATCTAGTTCTGTTAATTGCGTTTTCTACTTTTTTAAAAGATTCTTTGAGAAATTCTAATAAAATACATTTTTCAAAAGTTTATCTCTTCATTAAGATTATTTTTTAATACTCTAATGACGCTTTAAGTATTGTAATTATATGGAACTACAAAAAAAATATCAAAAAGCCAACATCACGTGGTGTTCCCAGGCGGTCACCCATCCAAGTACTGACCGCGCCCGACGTTGCTTAACTTCGGTGATCGGACGAGAACCGGTGTATTCAACGTGGTATGGACGTTGGCGAGTGAAATTCCAAATAGAATGTACCTATTCAACTCTAAGGAAGAATGCAACAGATAAAGTTGTCCATACGTACAAGAAATTAACGATTTCCACAAAATCGCATTATGATTATTAACAAAAATAATATGTAAGTAAACACACTTTTTTTTATTTTCTACATAGTAGGTGCTTAAATTATTTTGATTAAAATCATGTCTGAGCCATTATTGGGATTACCACGGAACAAATAATTTACTCACTTTTGCTTATAGATGGCGCTCACATAATACCAAACAATTTTAACAGTTATACGCGTTAACGAGACATCGCTATACACGTAAAAGTGATCCTGTATCTCAGCATCTCTTTTAATTACGTGTATAGAGCTGTCTCACATACTGGATCAAGCAAGATGTATAGTGCGTATAGCATGATCGTTTACGCAAATATTTGACATGAACTACTAAAAACATTAAATCCCTGTGTTTACTTATTTTTCTATATTATTATTATCATCGGACGAAACTACAGTGTTGTTTATTGAATAATTAATTTGATAGAAAAGATTAATCCAATTTTTGAAAAACTAGCTCCAAGAATTATAAAGCACATGTTTTACCACCGACGAGGTTACACTAGAGGCTAATGAAATTTTATTGCAAGATATCTAATATATAAAATCATAGGAAAAAGAGATAGTGTAGCACAATAAAGGTAATAGTTGATCATTGACTGTTCTCTAAATCTCAATATCAGAAATCTCTCCACTAGTTTGTCATAGGCTGCAATAACTGTCTATGATTTCATCGTCAACTGGTTACTGTTTACTGTTTTTAAAACAGTGGCCCAATCCCGTGTTCCTTTTCATTCAAACGGCTTACCTACCTTTCATAGCAAGAGATTAGCTCTGTCACATTGATATTCTTTAGCTAAGAAGTGGATCTCGGAATTACTTTAAGTTAGATAATAAGCCCAAACTGCAAGCACCGAAATAAATAAATGTTAACAATATTACCATGCAAACCACGCAAATTGATGTATTTACGACAAAGACGAATGTGTAATAAAAATAAAGCGAGTGCGCTTTCTGAGGAACAAGCACGGACTTTGACAGATCAGTTATTAATCAGTATCATTTAGACAGATCAGTATGGCATCGTCAAAATTGTAATGCAAAATTAGGCAGCGCCCCTGCCGTAAGCAAGAACAAATTGGCTTCTTCCTTAAAATAAAATACCGAAAGTAGACATAACAGAAGGTTTTCTCATGTATTTCTTTGCCTACATCACTTTGCCTACGCTCGACGGTCGCACTAGAATCGCCAACAATGGCTTATTCACAAAAAACTATCGCGTTAGTTGCACTCGTATCTAGTTGTTTGATTTATTATCGAGAATGAAACAGAAGGACCGAAAATATAAACCAATAATAACTAAATCATTTTAATGTTGCTGTTATAGTACAACTAAAAAAATGACAATCACGGCTCAATGTTGAATTCAAACAACCGTCTATATATTCATTTGTTTTTTGCTTTTCTCCATTTTTGCAGAAAAAAGTCCACTGACGCGTGACTCAATCGAATGACACTGGCGCTCACAGTGGTTTGTAGTGGTACGAAATATCGTGTCGGTGAGCTGTGTCTATGTGTGCGTTGCTCGAGCGCACTTTGTATGTAGATTTCCTTCTGTTATGTCTATTTTGTGATTTGACGTTAACGATACGATTACGGAACTGTCAAAGTTCGTGCTTGGACCTCTGTAACCCAAACAACAAAAACTACTGTTACACATGTTCAAGAGACTCATCAAGCAAGTACGCTAACCAACCAACTAACAAGCACTACATAAAATAATATTTTCTCAGGAAACTAGCTTGGCTCGGCAACATTCCATCTATACATATAAATAAAATTGGAATGTCTGTTTATAATATTAAAATAACCGCTTTTTACTACATGCATATGAATATATATAGGGTACATAAACCAAAATAACATTTTCTGTCTGTCTGTTTGTTCCGGCTAATCTCTGAAACGGTTGGAACGATTTTGACGAGACTTTTATTGGCAGGTAGCTTATGTAATAAGGAGTAACTTCGGCTATTTTTTTTAAGAAAAAATCTTTTATTTAGAAAAAAATACTAAAAGTTAACGCGGACGAAGTCGCGCGCGGTCGCTAGTATTAACTATATTTGTTGAAAAAAATATAAAATAATATAAAAGCCGTTTTGCAAATGATTAGTTCTCAGGTTCGGATCGTGATCACGGAGTAAGATATCGCTTCAGTCCAATCCGAACGTAACTAACGTCATATTTTGTACATCTAAGGGTCATTTACGTAGACAGTGGCGTCCTCCCTGAACTGTCACTCATAAAGATTCTTGTCGCAGTGTGACTTACCGACGTGGTTAGGTCTCGGAGCGCGTAGTAACGCAGGTTTCACAGCTGGACCGCATCTAAGCAATACATTTTATATTTTATAATGTTGTTTTTGTTGACAAACACATCATAGGACATAAAATAAATAAACTTGACAGTGAAAACGTTCACAATGGGCGGCCTTATTGCTAAACAGCACATTGTGAGATAAAAAAAATGGAGAAATAAAATGGGGGTGTTATAGGTAGAATAAACAAAATAATAATAATAAAGCACGGAAGTGCTATCAAGGCATAAAAAATTTTTTGGCAAGACTTATTTACGTTGTTAGTTTAATGTATAAGGGGGCTTCTATAAATTACGTGAGATGTTTAAGAGGGGTTCGAGTCAAATCTCACGCACACTGCCGGATTTAGGGGAGGGCAACCGGGGCGAAAGCCCCGGGGCCTCCACAAACGGGGGGCCCCCACAATAGACTTCGGGAAAAAAAACTTTCAAATTCCAACTAGTAAACATCTTTTCGGTTCCGTTCCTTAACTCTAAGATTTAATTTCAGATAATTCTTGTTTCCGTTTATATTTATATGTGTTTGTTCAAAACTAAGGGAATCTACTTGGTTCACAATAAATTATTTATTGAAAAACTCGACTGAAAAAAAATTGTTTACTTTATTTGGAAAATAATTTGGGGTGAGGGGGCCTCCGCTCCTCTGTTGCCCCGAGGCCTCTGGACCTCTAAATCCGGCCCTGCTCACGCAATTTCTTATGTTGGAGAGAGGGGGGGGGGGGTCTCGGTAAATATCACGCATTTTTTTTTCTGATTGAAACAAAAAAAAAATATTTTGGTCCATTTCATTCAGATTGAACATGCTTAAAATTTAATCTTAAGCGTAATCGTAATACGATTAAGATCATTTACTAATTCGTTCGAAAGAAATAACTCTCAGCAATATTGATTACTAGTTTTAACTATTATAGTCATAATAAAAGCACGAAGCATTTTTTTTTTCTTTTTACAATAACAATCCAACGCGTAAGAAACCCACATTTTGAAAAATCTGACGTCTAATTGGGAGATGGGGGAGGGGGTTGAAAAATACTGGGAAGGGAGGGACAAAAAATTCAAAAAACACCTCGCGTAATTTATGGTCGCCCCCTATTTCCCAGTTATAGACCTCGAGCACCGAACGCAACTTTGAAAAAAATCTAAAAATCCGCGCAGTTCGGGTTTATTTCAGTTTTTAGAGATAAAACCTTCCAACCCCGTCATTAAAATACACAAAACAAAAAAGCCAACATCACGTGGTGTTCCCAGGCGGTCACCCATCCAAGTACTGACCGCGCCCGACGTTGCTTAACTTCGGTGATCGGACGAGAACCGGTGTATTCAACGTGGTATGGACGTTGGCGATTTACAAACTAAATTTAAGGATAACTTTACTCACTTCATTTATTTATAGATGTTCATGCAGATCTAAAGAATACGTAACCTAAATCTATATTATATTAAACTCAAAGGTGAGTGACTGACATAGTGATCTATCAACGCACAGCCCAAACCACTGGACGGATTGTAAAAGTATTCATTTGACATTGTGGGTTACCTACAATGCGAAGAGATGGCGCTGCCTTGCAGCTTAAGAATGGCTGGAGGAAACGCGGCCGTCAATACCTTTTGGTGGTGTTGTGTTTATGTCGCTGGACTCCATGGGGTAGGGGATTGGGTCAGTAGGCAAGTGCGCGAGTTATATTTATTGTATCGGAAGCGCCTATAGGCTATCGTGGCCGCTTAACATCAGGCGAGCCATATGCTTGTTTGCCACCCTTTTAACATAAAAAAGAAATGGAACTAACAAAACTTTGATAATACATATTTACTATTGCATTGCTTAGACTACAGTGCAATAATATTAAGGACGTACTTTATTACAGTCAACTATAATACATATGTACATATTATACTTTCCACAGTTAACGACGCCATTTCTTATTATGACGGTCATAAATAAAGCATTGAAATAAAAACAATTTAACGACAGAATTTTATTTTATATTAATCGAATGAACAAATTGAATGAGGGCTATAATTCGATAGCTATCTTTATATTGTATAACATGTCTGCCAACGTCCATATCACATTGAATACGCACCGGTTCTCATCCGATCACAGAAGTTAAGCAACGTCGGGCGCGGTCAGTACTTGGATGAGTGACCACCTAGAAACACCGCGTGATGTTGGCTTTTTGCTATTTTAGGTAGTTTTCCAATTACAGCACTAGAGCGCATTATGCGGCATAATGCTTAACGTTGAATGTTTCAACTACAGCAACGCTTCGCACAATCGAGCACTCTCAAAAGTAATGTTTTCGTGTGATGCGTGCAATCGATCAGAACTAATTAATTGATTTAAACTGGGAGTACTCGATAAATCTTCATCATCACTATCATCTGGGTAAGATGATTCAATTAAAACGTATATAACTCTTTTAGAACTCATTTAGAAAAATACTCAAAACAAAAAAATATTAATGAAATAATCCAAATCCAAATTACTTAAAACAACCGTAAATAATTTTCAACCAATTATTATGTATATGTTACGCTCAAAGATCGAAAACGCTCAGTGAGCGGAAAAATAGCTCACAACGCGTTGTGGTCATAGTAAAACATCCACATAGCGAAATTCGTGTTATGGCTCTAATGAAAACGAGCACGACGCGTTGTGGCAATCACAGAAAGACCAAATAGCGAAATTCGTGTCGTGGCTGACATGCTATTCGATCTCAACGCGTTGTGGCAATAGAGATGGCTAACACTTCCTTGTTCACCTCCGTAGATAGAACGGCCCGTATATCTTCTTATTGGCTGTCTGTATCCACCGCTCGTGTATGGCGACCAGTGGTTTCACATTCACGCCGGTTAAGATCACTTTATATCGATAAGATTAAGCTGATAAACAAAAAAAATAGCAAACACTTACTTGTTTCCCTCCGGCAAGCACATAGACCTTCCCGTCTTCCTATTGATTTCGTATATCCACCGCTCGTGTATGGCGACCAGTGGTTTCACATTCACCCCGGTTAAGATCACTTTATGTCGATAAAATTAAGATGATAAATAAAAATTTTGCAAACACTTACTTGTTCCCCTCCGGCAAGGACATAGACCGTCCCGTCTTCCTATTGGCTTCGTATATCCACCGCTCGTGTATGGCTACTAGAGGTTTAACATTCACCCCGGCTAAGATGTCATCTTCCACTTTATACTTGTTATTAGTATCGTATCGTTCCGCTGAAGTTTTGTACGACCAAGAGTTGCTCCTTTCGCGCAGCGGTGCGTCCGCGTCGGGCGATGAGAAACTTTGCTGGTTAACTCTGTAATGCGAAATCAAGGCGATAGATGGCGCTTTTTACAAGTAAACTAGGTATACGACAAACTGCTGGTTCACTCAGTAATGCGAAAGCAAGGATGTAGATGGCGCTTTTGCAAATAAACTAGGTATACGATAAACTGCTGGTTCACTCTGTAATGCGAAAGCCAGGCGATAGATGGCGCTTCTAAAAATAATCTAGATATACGATAAGCTCTGCTAGTTCACTCTGTTATGTGAGAGCAAGGCGATAGATGGCGCTTTTACAAATAAACTAGATATGCGACTGGTTCACTCTGTACTGCGAAAGCAAGGCGATAGATGGCGCTTTTACAAATAAACTAGATATGTGAGAAATTGCTGGTTCACTCTGTAATGCGAAAGCAAGGCGATAGATGGCGCTTTTTACAAACTAACTAGGTATACTGTTTGAAACCACCATGGTAACTAACTACAGTATTTCATATTATTTACGGGATTGCTACCGCTACCGTGTACCTTGTTTTTAGCGTCTCTGATATTTTGGCACTGTTGCAATGATCACACAAGGTACATGGAAGCAATCCCTTAAATAACAAATTACTGTAATAACTAGGTTTATTTATACAAAGTTAAGTAAGTAACACTAGGTTGTTTCTTTTTCTCTTCTTTAGCTAACGTGAGTGACAGCATAAATTTTAGAACAAACCCGTTCTAATTAGTAATTTTAGTCAGATTATGTAATAAAGCGGGTTTTTTAACGATAGGAACGCAAATATATAAAAAAAACAACATTATGTTCTACTTATCTCAACCTTTTAATATTAACTGTACCCTTAGCACGAATTAATATCGAATTCGAATAGGTTGGGAGCGCGAAATGTCATTGTTAAATTTTGTATGAAAACTTGAACAGCAGCGGCATAACGGACGTAACGAGAACTATAAACGAATTCGATAACAATTCGTGCTAAGGGTACTGTAGTGTAAATTTAACGACTGTGATTTACCACTTTTAAAATTTCATATTAAATTGTTTCATTCACAATGTAGCGATGTCGGTCTGTCTGTCTGTATCTTTAGTCATTATAATGCAAAAACTATAGCCAGTCTTTCAATCGTTTAACTTCTTTCCCATCTTTCATGGCATAGGTCGCGGCATACCTACTTCTTGAGCAAAACCACAGACGTAATTGCTACTGCGCAGGCTTCCTTGTCTATGGTCATTGCTCAAGATGTTTGCTGGGATGTATAACAATAATTTGTTTACCTTCCAAGTGCAGCATAACTTTCATTTGTGCCAATGGTGTCTGGAGAGGTTTCCTTTTCTCCACTTTGGTAGCAAATATTATCACCATGTGCATAAGAATTCTTCTCCAAACACGCATTTGTTGAGGTCTCGGGAGTATTTGGTGTTGTTGTTGATGCAATCTCACTATCTAAAACATATGAAAATGAAAGAAATCTGTCAATATAAATAAAAAAGTAGCAAAAAGCCAACATCACGTGGTGTTCCCAGGCGGTCACCCATCCAAGTACTGATCGCGCCCGACGTTGCTTAACTTCGGTGATCGGACGAGAACCGGTGTATTCAACGTGGTATGGACGTTGGCGAAAAATAAACCGAATTTTAAAAACCACTTTCACAATCTACCATGTGCTAGTCAACCTTTTTCAAACTGATAAACAAAACGATGCTTTATAAAATAATTATGTACAATTGTACAATTTGGATTTACCATGTATTATCTATCACGTGCTACCTATGTATTTAAAACTGCGTAGTTCACGCTCTGCTATTCGCTATGTGCGAAGTACATGGTGGGGGTATAGTGAAGCGATCGCAGCGCTTATCGTGGCAGAAATACGCAACAATCCGGGAAAGTAAAGTCAATTTGCACCGAGTTCGTAATAAATAAAAAAAAATGTCTAATAATAGATGTTGTTGTGTTGTGAACTGCAAAAATAACGGCACAAGTAGTCTGTGTGTATATTTCCTACATTGGACTAGAAATTAAATCAAAGAAATAAATGGATAGATGCCATAAAAAGAAATAAGTAAGCGAAATAACCTTAAATTATGATCAATTTTATTTGCGCTATATTTTATGTGATATTCATTATTGTCTTTATTATTTTATTGTTGATGGGCCGCCATGGTATCCCAAACCTGACGACACAATTGGTAGTGAACATTTTAGGGGAAACAAAAAATCAGATGAGGAAGAAAATCCGAGTTATGCTCCTACGATATTCCCTGAAATATATCGAAAGGGGAAGGTTAATGATTCACAGGTCCTAGCTAGATATACACGCTTGACAAAACGAAGAACCACAAAAGTTTTAGATACCACATCAAGTCAAATAATAATTGAAGAAGGGAGTGAATTAAATCAAACTCAACCTCTTATGGTCGATCAACGATGTCAAGTGAATATGTTTTCTGAATCGAAATTAAGAGATACAACTTTTATTTGTATTAGATTAATTTACAGTGATCACTGTGATGCTGAAATCCAAGCAGATATAGCAACAACATCAAGAATTTTAATGACAAATAATTCAAGAAAGAAAGATAAAAGCTGTGGCACTGACAAAAAATCGTATGAAGATCAATCTACCGAAACAAAAAGTCAAGAATTTGTTGGTATTTCATCAATAAAAAAATATCAAGAACTCCTAGATCTTGCTGGTGTGTCATTTAGCAAATTTGAATTTTTATTAACAAGATTAACTATGAAAAAATGTACAGTTTTCACTAAAGACCGACTTCTGATATTTTTGATAAAAATGAAAACTGGCTTGACATTTTCAGCATTGAGTGTGTTATTTGGTGTACACAAAACCACAATCTCACGTATATTTCATTCGATCTTACAGATCTCTAGCTTGTTCAACTGCTAATTTAATCTTTTGGCCGAATAGAGCCACCGTACAAGCAACAATGCCCAAGTGTTTCAGTCCAGATTACATCAATACAAGAGTTATTATTGACTATGCTGAATTCCAAATTGTAATACCGACAGTATTGAAATTATTATACAATATATAATAATTTTTATTTATCTTTAATTTACTATACTTACTAGAAATCAATAAAATACTGATGTCATTATTTGGCATAATCCCGGAAAGTTGCGCATTGTAGGTGGCGCTACTGTCGTGCACATAGCGAATAGCTTACCTTAATTTGAAAGTTTAAAAATATGTTATAAAAAATATTTAAATGATCAAACAAAACATTTTTAAAACTATTTTTAATGCAAACATTTTGCTCCTCCATCCTTTTATACTTTACTGCATTGCAGCACTCACAGACAGTTTTATTACCTTTAAAACTCATATCAATTACATCGAGCAATTATATATACATATAACATGATTATTTCTGATATTTTATGTAAGAATTAAATTGATAGTTTTTTATAACTCATGTATATTAATTGTTTTTAATTTATAAACATTTTGGATAAACAAAGCATAAATCATTATTGACATAAGTTCTTCAGAGTCAAAAATGCGTATTTTCGAAAAAAAAAACAAAAAGCCAACATCACGTGGTGTTCCCAGGCGGTCACCCATCCAAGTACTGACCACGCCCGACGTTGCTTAACTTCGGTGATCGGACGAGAACCGGTGTATTCAACGTGGTATGGACGTTGGTAACAAATCAATCGTAATAATGGAACAATATGATCGGCTACATACATCCATAATTTAATTTTAGTTACATGAAATACTACCTAACAACCGTAGCCAGAAACTTCAAATTAATTTAATATTTCTTAAGACACATGTTATCATCTCTTTCTATTATTTTCGCAAAGAAAGTGACAGCATCAACTTTGCTTAAAGGACAATGGCGAAATATTTGTTGAAGTAAATCTTTAGCGTCTATAGATGTCACTATCAGAAATGTTAATAAAATAATCTCAAAAGATTTATTAAATAATTGAGGAGGGTTGTCTAAGTCTGGAATTAACAAACTTAAAAAGGGAAACACAATTGACTATTTATTTTTATTGTGGCTTGGCATCATGGCTTTTGAGCCATTAATTTTAAGTGATTTTAGTGATGAAATCAACTTTAAATATGTTGTTCGTATGTTTTGCATCGCTTTATGCTTAAACTGTATTTAATTATCTATCAAAAATATCGGAAAACATTATTTTTCAATATTATACTGAAACCATAGTATTTATATAATCTCCACAATACAAAAAGAGTATGGCGTCAATTCTAACGCAAAAAGACCATAACTGTCACTGTCATGCTTGTCATCGAATTGTTGTAATGCTGTTGTTATTGTTATCATTATCGTTGCTTATGCATAAGTGCATGCGTATTGCAAAGAATCAAATCGGTGTATTGTGTTTTTCTCTGAGATTTGTTTTTTATGTGACTTGGACTGCATTTGGACTTTCGAAATCGTTCCCTGCGACTGTTGAGTAGTGCTTGCCTAAGACTTCCGATGATCTTTTGGATGAAGTCTTGCTGTGGATTTTGGACACGATTCTGTCCCATACTGTGGATTTTATTTCATTGTATCTACTATCTACGATATTGTGATCAAAGAAGATATGGAATAAAAATATATATAAAAGTGTTTCATATTTAATTAATATCCCATTAGTACTATTAGAAATCCTTTTTTATACTTTATTATTGCTGTAGGCATTTTCAAATTGTTAGGTTTTTCTTACAGCATAGACATTGTATTCGAACTCAATAACCCTTGACTGTTAAGTATTTCTAACGCAGTCGGTCACTACATACCTACGCCCACTGAACATACATTATGAAAAACATTTTTTTTCGTCACTCATCTACGGGACCAGTATACTTCTATAGTTCCGTTCCACGTATTTTTTATTTTGATATAAAAATACTCTTGAAAATACTTTTATAATTCGTTTTTGTATTACTTGGTATGACATAACCTCCAAAACTTAAAAGTAGCATATCTATAAATCCAGACTTCCTATAATAAAAAAAATAAGACGAATCAAATCTAGAATCTAAACTCTATAATTTAACATGCAATTCATTTATAGACGCAAAAAAAATTTTCAACAAAAATTTGTATGAGAGTTCGCCATTGTCCTTTAAAAGTTAATGACTTCTTTGAGTGCGGCTGTACAAGTGTAACACGTTTATTTCAGTCTTTTTGAGAAACATATTTTGATTAACTAAAAATTGAAGTTAAGAGTAATAATAAAATACATTGTGCAAAATGTTTATCTCTTAGCAGATTTTTTCTGTATTTACTTTTCAATTGACTAATGAGAAAGTTAAAAATAATTTCTAAAAAAAAAGCAAAAAGCCAACATCACGTGGTGTTCCCAGGCGGTCACCCATCCAAGTACTGACCGCGCCCGACGTTGCTTAACTTCGGTGATCGGACGAGAACCGGTGTATTCAACGTGGTATGGACGTTGGCGACAATAGAGCTGAATTAGTTAGATACATATAAATATTCATTTTAAAAGAATGAACAAATTAATTCTTTATTAGAATTAACTTGACACATAGTACTGCCTTGAAATACATATTATTAATATTAGTTAACTAGCTGACCCGTCGAACCACGCACCGCCAAATATTTTTACTCCCTTAATATTTTTAGAAAAATATTCAGGGAATAAAAAGTAGTTAAAACAGTTTATGAGGGAAATTGTTGTTTTTACTATCTTCCTCGTAACTTTTCCATATTTTCTCAACGTTTAAACTTTCCCTGAACTTTGATAAACATCTCAAAACAAAAATACGCTAAATCGGCCCAGCCGTTCTCGAGTTTTAGCGAGACTAACGAACAGCAATTTATTTTTATATATATAGATTCTAATGGTACAGTACCGTACCATCGATATTACACTTTTTTTAGTATTAATTTGGAAGTAGACGAAAAAATTAATAACTTACCGTTCTCATTGCTAGTCTTTAAATCTTGCAAAACCTCCGTGCTTCGTTTCGTTAAACTCAGATCACCAGATAGCCAAGCATTTTTCCTCAGTTTGTTACTTCGAGCGATAGGTGTCGTTGGCAAGCTGTAGTTTTTTATATCAAAATTGTACGATGATCGCACAGACTCATTCTGTTCCTTCAATATGGATTTAATAGAGTCCAAATTACACTCAGGCACTTTTATGTGAAGAGGTTTATAGGACTTCGGGGTGAAACTTCTACTCAATTTAGCTGCAGGTCGCTCAGAAATATTTTGATCTTTGGCAGAGTCATCATTGAACGTAAAATGGTTCGTGCGATTAGGACTTAGAATGCTGCAATATTCAGTGGAATCACTTCTGTGTAAGGCGTTTGGGGTGCCGATGTCTTTGATTCGCGCTTTGATTTTTGCTATTGGGGTGGAGCAGGCGCTTGAGAAATCTTTTTCGGGGAGATGACTGTATTTCAATAAAGGTCTTCTGTCGACGGTGTCTTCATCGGTAAGGAAGGATTTATCGGGAATGGCGTAGGTTGCGTCCGGTGGGGACTTGTTTATAACTTCGTAAAGAGGGCTGGCGTCACTTTTGCTGCAATCTTTCTCGCTTTCTGCGGAGCTGGCTTCGTTGTGCACGACGGCTTGGTGTTGCGACTCTTGAGGTGGACTAAGGCATTCAGAGGTTGTAGGGGAGGTGCTGTTCCACGGAGAACTAAAGTCAGACTTCTTTTTTGAAAGCCTCGCCGGTATGACGATGTATTCCATCTGGTCAATGTTGCGCTGAAAATAAGTTTTATTCTATCGTTATTTATCATATTAAATTTGTGAACTTTGTTATTTTATCACACCGTAACTACCATACTCCCACTATTCCACTATGACTATCAAGGTCAGCCATCTGGACGCCATCGACGATCCAGAAATCATTACTTACTTAGTATTGCGAATATTTGCAGAAACCCATTTTTCTTTTGTATATATATATACCATTTTATTACCCTTCTTTTACATTGAACTATATTGTCGTTTAGGTTAAGTATTCATCCTTAGGCATTAAGATAATGTTAATTTCATTTGTAAGCCATATAACCTATTGTATTCCTTCTATTCCTATTCATTAACTATTAAGATGATTGTTTTGTGGCATTTCCCTGAAATGTGTAGGAGTGTTTTTTGTTAACCATTTCTTTATACAAATAATCCAGATCCCTAAACAAGTGGTCAGTTCAGCTGTGTTCATACTCGCAATGAGTCGTTAGTTCAGCAAATTCTTTAATATTGCAAGGACAGAGTTCCAAATAAAGTTTAGTCGAACGAAGTCTCACCTCTTACTTATTACAACTTTTACCGCTTTATTACAAAACGTAGACTATTGTTAAACCTGGACTAAATCTGATGCTGTCACTTTTATTTGCTAATAAAATAGAGACAACATAAGGTTTAAATTAAACCAAAACTAACTTGAGTTTACGTTTTGGAATAAGGCGGTAATAGTTTTTTATCTTATAAAGGAGGAAATTGGAGCGCCCTTCTGGGTATGTAACCTTATATGTTACGGGAGACCAAAGTTTAAATAACACCTTTTGGTGGAAGGTATTATGTTCCTGTTGGTGAATAAGGTCGGCCGGCAACGTGAGGTTGGCGCGAGAACTTATCTGCCGCATTGCATCCGACTGAATTACAATGTATTAAACCTCACCTTCATCTTTGTTGGTTTCGTTATACAAAAATATTTTTTAAAATTGGAAAACCACTTTTTAGGTCCATGGAAAAAGCTCATTTTATTACAAAGGCATGCAATGCAAAAAAGCTACATCTATTACTTACTATCCAACATTTTCATTAACCGTGTTTGTAGCGAGTAAAGGTTTCCAAAGGCAAATAGCACTGCCATAAACAATCATGTTAATCGTATTGTGTGTTTTTATATACACCACCATAAAATTTTAATACGTCTTATTGAGGACAAGTAATGTAAGTAATTAAATAAAAACATTTTTATACTATGTATTATCAATACAGTAACTAAATTAAAAATAGTTTGCACTTTAAAAGTATAGCTTTTATATTGAAATCATAAATTGATAAACTAAAAAAGTACAAAAACAAAAAGCCAACATCACGTGGTGTTCCCAGGCGGTCACCCATCCAAGTACTGACCACGCCCGACGTTGCTTAACTTCGGTGATCGGACGAGAACCGGTGTATTCAACGTGGTATGGACGTTGGCAATTTAGAGTCTGAATTTGTAAGCCACTTTTCGAAATTTACGTAATCGCAATAGATAAAAATATTTCTCCAATATTTTCTACAAGCCTCTATCCTCGGTGATCGGACGAGAACCGGTGTATTCAGAAACCACTGTCGTAACCTAGCACGTGTTCCTTATTTCCATATTTGTACCTTTTTTATTTATAACTAGCGGTCGCCCGCGACTTCGTACGCGTTGAGTTAGTTAGAAATAAAGGTTCACTGCTCGTTACCACTAGGTGATAGTGTGATAATATGTAGCCTAGCCTATATGTTGACCCGACTACTTAATAATATTCGTGCCAAATTTAAAGTAAATCTATGCAGTACTTTTTGAGTTTATCCCTGGCATACATACAGACGAACAGACAAAAATTCTAAAAACTATATTTTTGGCTTTGGTATCGATTGTAGATCACGCCCCAAGCATCCTTTTAAAAAAATATTCAATATGCAGTTTTGACTTTCCTACCATTTTATTATATGTAAAGATTTTTATCTATATATCTATATATCTATACTCTTCAAAGATCTTATACTTACAATCATCAACAAATATATTTCGAAAAAGATTATTACAGGATTGTATGTTGATAAAAAACTCTATGGCCCATAACTCATTAATAGGTACCAACTCTTAACATCTTACACACGTGATAACTTTTAAACGAAATATCCGATCGAGATGAAACAAAAAGTATTTTACTTCTACATAAATACTCTTGATAACATAATGCTTAATTTCGATAAAGATTAATATTACGATACATATTTAACGTAGTTTTTTTTTCTTCAGACGATTTAATAATTATTTTGAACACAAAATCGGTTATTGTGATTAAACCATGATAGCTAGATATATGTTCTCGCTGACTTTTTTGTAAGTCTTAATGGGATCTACAAACCCGTATTACATCATTTTGTTCTATTGTCAATAGTTTTTGCAGCGCACGCAAAAATAGGTTTTCCGTTTTACACCTTGTGTTACAAAATAGCAATTTTATTACGGATCCCTAATTTTGAAAAAAAAATATATATCGCTTATAGGCTTCCTCGATAAATGAACTACCCAACACTGAAAGAATCATTCAAATCGGACCAGGAGTTCCAGAGATTAGCGCATTCAAACAAACAAACAAACAAACTCTGCAGCTTTATAATATTAGTATAGATTAAACAATTTAGATAAAGGCAACACAAATTCCATTATTGTCATTAGAAATTGTGTCGAAAAGAATCATAGTTTTTAGTTTTGACATTCATTAATTTATGTGACATTAAATAGAAGAAGACAAAAGTAGCATTATAAGTAAAAAAGTACAAAAAACAAAAAGCCAACATCACGTGGTGTTCCCAGGCGGTCACCCATCCAAGTACTGACCACGCCCGACGTTGCTTAACTTCGGTGATCGGACGAGAACCGGTGTATTCAACGTGGTATGGACGTTGGCAATTCAGACTCTGAATTTGTAAGCCACTTTACGTAATTTACGTTATCGCAATATACTAAAATATTTCTCCAGTATTTTAATACAAGTCTGTAACCTTGGAGTGCCTTCCTTGGATGCGTAAATAAAATAACAAATTAGTAGTTGCATAAAAGGTTCTGTACATTCTGTAGTAGCTGCCATGTGACATAACATGGCAGCTACTTCTATGGCACTACTGCAGCTAATGTAAGTCATATTTGTAATTCAACCTGCGGTAAGGTTGATTAATGGTTACCTTGAGCGCGTGCATCGTCCAGTGTAAGCCCGCGAACCATGATTGAACCTTCATTCATTCTCTGGTTAAGGAGTAGGTGGAGCACGTTCTGCAGTAGAGCCAGCCGTTTCTTAGGGTACTCCTTCAGTTTGTAGAATGACAGTGACCTGGACATTTTCATAATATTCTGCGGTGACATTGGTTACCTTTAGCGCGTGCATCGTCTGGTGTAAGCCTGCGAGGTTCATTCTCTGGTCACGATTAAGCTGAAGTGCGTTCTGCAGTAGGGAAAGCAATCCCCCTGGGTAGGTGCCATCTGCGGGCAGACGCAAGCCCGTCTGCCAAAGCACATAGCACTCCTTCAACTTCTCGTAGGACAGCGGTTTCCATGGCACCGACGCTGGAAATTTTTGAATAGGTGCTTAAATCCTTAATAAAAATCACCATTATTACTACCTATCCTATTTTAAACATAGTTAGTTTATTTATTATATGTCAGGTGCGTTTCGCCATCTATGCGCTCCTAAAAATCATCCGATTTAAGTGAAGCTTTGGCGGTTTTGCGCAGGCCGAGGCGGCAGGCGCATGGACGAAGTCGCGCCGGATCCGCTAGTTGGAAATAAAAATATCAATGCAAAAATAAAGAATTATATATTTCGCATAATATGTTTTATGAAATTATGATCCCTGGTTATAGTATTACATACTTAGAGCACTATACCTGCTCTAAGATTACATATAACAATAATGAATGAAGAATTGCACCTGTGATTACTCTTAGATATCTTTCTTTACTTTGACTGCCAGACCTTACATAGTAAATGATTACAGAGAAAATAATTTCTCATGGACAAATATGGATAGTTGAATAGTATTACTGTGAACAATGAACGCTTACATACTCGTTAATTTGTGCTGTGGGTAAATTTTTTGGTATCAGGTGGCGCAGGCACATAAAAATTTTACTCACCTAACTGATAATCTGAGGACTGATTCCTACGTATATTGAAGAGAACATTGCAAACAATTTGAAATTCATAATACCAGACACATCCCTGTCAGCAGTTTTTATTGCCAGAGACTTAATGTCGAAAACAAAAAAACACAAAATAAGCAAATAAAATTGTTTAAAAATGCATTTTATGCGAGTTCCAATAAAATACATTCTGATTTAAGAAGACGTTTAACAAAATGTGTACCTTATCTTTTATAACTTTTAATAAAAAGGATAATTGAAAAAGCAATTGTAAAACAATAAAAAAGCCAACATCACGTGGTGTTCCCAGGCGGTCACCCATCCAAGTACTGACCACGCCCGACGTTGCTTAACTTCGGTGATCGGACGAGAACCGGTGTATTCAACGTGGTATGGACGTTGGCGATTAGCGAACTCAAATTTGTAATCACAATCGTTGTCTATCACGTCCTTCTAACGGGTGTATTCAATGTGGTGGTATATGGATCCTACAATAAATTACTATTTTACCGCATACAGCACCGCAAATCAACCGAATATTCGGCCGAATTTAATATTATTTCAATAGAATATAGTAAGTCACATATTAATAATACAAGGTTTCAACGTGTCAAAATAAAAAAGGGGCATTTATTATAGGATCAACTAAAACATGTCATGAATTTTTGTGATTTAAAAAAACTTTTTAAATGATAGAAAAATATTTAGCTATTTGTATAGTCTATTTCTAAACATGTTCACATTGTTCACATTTTAAATTTTATTCTTGGGTGGTATTTCATTATTGATCTCGACACAAAGGCATAAGCAACTTTTCCTATATTTATTATTAAAGATCTCATTAAATATCATTGTGTTAGGGTCTCTAAGTCGGAAATTATTGAACCTCGTAAACAACTGTTTGTGCCCGTCAGCGTTGCCAGTTTTTTTTTTTGCCAAGTCGGGATTTAGGGACCTTTTGAGTGAAACATGCGGGATTCTCTCGTCGAAAGCGGGACATAGTAAAAAAACGCTGATATAATTATAATCAAAACTTTTTGAATATTTTTATTTATTTGAGTTCAAATTACGTTTACGTGCCATACCTAAAAACCTACCTAAAAATATCCATAGAAAATGTATTTTAATAAAAATATGTTATGTATTTTAAATCAGATTTACCCTATCGTTAAAGAGTTAGAGTTATTCCCGAACCTAATTATTAACCGAAAAATAATTCTGTACCGAAGGATAGACTCTATGTAGGCACGGTAAGACAAAATAACGTTTCTTTTGTTTGTTATTTTTTTTTCGTTTTTCAGAGCATACACAAATTTATTTATTATTTGACTGAACATATCCACGTTACTTTTACAGCTTGTATCTTTGTCAATGTTTACACCTAGGAATCTTTAATTTTCTACTTCCTTAATTTTTGCTACGTCTATTATGTAAAATTATGTTTAGATTTATTAAATTGGATATAATAAGATTTATTAATATTGATTTATAGTTTATTTGCATTGGGCCATATACATTTGTCTGCTTCCGAGACTAACCGATCAAATGATTAAAATTTTATTTAAATTGAATTAATTGTCTTTAAATAATTGGTACAAAAAGTAGTGTTTCTTTCATTTACAAAAAATATGTATAATTTTCGGATTAAACCACACTTATTTAGTAATTAGTTAACCTTACTGTTTAATATAATTGTACGGAAGGATTTCCCCAAATATTCGGTTCGGTACAATTTGGGCAGAACATACGGCCCAATATTCGTATTCGGTTAAAACTACATTCAGCGCATCTCTAATAACTTGATCTAGGTTTAACTTTAAAAATACATTTCATTTAATATTTCCATTTCAATTAATTGAAGCTACCGAATTTCGGCGATATTCGGCAGATGTAATTCAAATTCGGTCGAAGACAAAGTTCGTTAAAAGCTACCGAACTTGCAATTACCGGTATTGCAATACCGGATGTAAAACGAATCTCAGAGCATCTCTAATTAATTAGATTTAGTTAGTTTGTAGATATTAAAAAAACTTATAGTAGGGGGACCGTATAAGATCGACCTTCACCGATCTGATAACTCGACTCGACATATTTTTTATCAGATGTAATTTATAAACAAATATGCCTATGATGACTAGCCTATCGAAAAGTGTTCATAGCTATTTTTAATTTAATTAATTTGCCTTCATCACCTTCACTCTTTTGATAACCGAATGAGTTTTATCTGAACTGATAGTTCTTAACACGCAGAATATGCCAAGGCAGGCTTGCCTACTTATTTCTGTGCATGGCTACCTGGCAAGTAGATGTGAATAGGTAAGTCAACATAGGTAACTACACCGATCTGTTACCCAATCGAAATTTATATCACAGGTAAGATATTTTAATTACTACGATTTTTTTTTCAAATTTCTTACATTAACAGTTAATCTCTTTGATAGAAAAAAGATTTTTCAGAAAAAAAATCATTGTAAAAATGAATCAAACCACAAAATTGCTCATAATGGTGATTTTTGCAAAAACAAAGAATTTGAAGCTTCGGGGCACAATGGAAAAAAAATCGCTGTGCTTTGAATTATTCAGGGATTTTAGGGGACACTTTGAGGTTAAAAAATTACCGACGATATCCTTCGTTCATCCATTTTATCCAAAGTTATGCGAATTTTAGTCTTTTTTCCGTCCAAGTTTTCAATTTTTTTTTTTTTCAAAATCTGTTTATATTTTCTCATATATCAGAATATCGTGCTGTTTTCAAAATCCTCCTTCGATTTCCTATACGATCATTATTTCCGGAGTTATTGACTATCAAAGTCAAAAAGAACTTTTTTGCTTTGATTGACGATAACTCCGCGGCTAATCGTCGTATAGCCTTTTTGATTACGTCAAATTAAAGGGTATTAAATTTTCCAAAAGAGCTTTAGAAGGAAACAAAAAAAAAAAATTTTAAAGCCAGAAAAAATTATAAAAAAAAAATCGGTAGTTTTCTTAGGATTTCTCCAGACCTGGTCATGACAAAATTTTTTCATGGTCATATCCATGGACGTATAAAAAAAAGCGGACAGAGTTTCGGCTAAAACAATACTGAGGCACCGTAATGGCGGCTGCTATTGATGAGTGAGTGAATTGTAGGGTTGCTAGGTTAGCCAATTTTTTACCAATAAAACACAGTTAAAACATGAAAATATTTTGATTGTTCAAAATTTTACTTTTTGCCCGACTGCGGAGGATAATGTTTTTCGAGCGTATGTATGCATGTATGTATGTATGTCCAATAATTTGGCACGCCCTACAGCCTGAACGTCTTGACGGATTTTGACATGCGAGGTATCATTTGATTTGTCGTGATTGTGTGAGTGGCACTCGGTATATTAAAATTTCAAAAAAATCAAAATAACAGATTTTATGCGCCAAAATGAAACATTTTGAAAAAAAAGTATAAGTTTTTTTATAACCCGTCAAGCGAGGTATCAAAGTGAAGGGTTTAAAAGAATATTTAGAAAATATACAACTCTTGTAATTAAAAAATAATGAATTTAAAATGTCGAAAATAAAAAAAATGTACTAAAAAGAAAAAAACAAGTCCAGTAGTCTAGAATTCTGTTTAATAAGGAACAAAGTTACTTTAACAGTCGGGACTCATTAGAAATTCTAGAATGTATCGAATTTTCTTAAAATTGGGTAAATCAACTAAATATAGATGGCCTGGCCTGCATTCTCTTTCATATTTCTTAAAATAAACTAACACCCATTGAGTGCTGTTTGTAATTGAGGAGTTCCATTGTTTTCCTCCGAAATTACTCATCAGATCTCCAGTAAATTAATATGCAGCCATCTCGCTAGTAAACTGATTAAAACAAAAAAGAATCATCATAAACGGTCCACGAATCTCGGAGATTTGCGTGGACAACAATAAAAAAATAACAAATATGACGCATTGCGAACCTCTTTCTTTTCGAAGTCGGTTAAAAATTTTAATCAACCTTTTGAGGTAATGCATACGTAATAACACGCCGGAGTCCTCCTTTAGTTGTATATAAGTCTTGAGCTTCAAAATGAAGACTAAAAATGACACTACTACATATTTGTTTGGAAATCATTAATTTTCCAGTAATTTCTCCATACTACATTTTCTTTAGGAAATCTGATAAAAAAGAATAATAAATAATAGATTGAAGTTAATTTCAAACCCAATTTCCCATATTTTAGGTAATATGGTTACATGAACATTGGCAACACTGGGCTTTTGACTAATCATTTTGTCCTTAGAACTAAAATTGATTTCGATTTCTAAAAACTAGAAAAAAGTGATTCAATTATTCATTTACCTATGAAACGTGATTCCTGGATTTTTTTTCTTTCGGTCACTACGGTTTTTACACCTTTTTACAAGCAAGATATCTTGTTTAGCTTATTTTTTATCTCCA